ATGTCTCTTGCTAAATAAGCTCTTGATGACACAAACTGAGTCCTGGGTCACTAAATGGTTGCATTCCTACTTTTCAAACAGAATGTAGTACACCGTATAAAAAGGCGAATCCTCCTCTGCTGTGGTCACTGAAGCTGGTGTCCCCCAAGGTGCTGTACTCTCCCCACTTCTCTTTTCTTTCTTTCTACATGACCTACCGTCTTCAAATGACATTAATTTTGTCAAATATGCTGACGACTTGACTGTATCTTTGCCTGTCAAGTTTCAGAGTGACTGCTCTAAACTAAATGGCTTCTTATCAGAAATCAGCCAATGGTCCAAGGAAAACGGTCTAACCTTAAACCCCTCCAAATGCCAAACAGTTAATTTCACCTTAAGGCACAAATCTGACCTAAACAAACTCGTTAGCACTCACGAGGTGTGCGACATTGATGGCAGTGAAATAGAAACCAAGTCAGAAATTAAATACCTAGGCGTCATTCTATCTGCTGATCTTTCCTGATCGTCTCAAATCTTGATGATTTCTAAGAAAATATTTCGTCTTACCTTCTACATCAAGAAGTTAAGACATTCTGGTATAACCCAACCCTTACTCCTACAATTCGTTAACTACCGTACTCTGCCTATTATTCTCTATTGTTCCCACTTAGTTTTTCCAGGTCTGGCTACTGAAGAAAGACTATACCTTATTACGCAGGATGTTGAAGGTTGTCAGCAGGGTGAGCCACAGGTGCCACTTAACCAGCTTGTTAATATTCTGGTGGACAGGCACATGGACTCATGTGAAAAATGGGCTAAATCCATTCTATCTACCTCACACCACCCTCTTCATTCACAACTCTCCCCTTGTATCTCATCTATCAGGCAAAACCAGAAGCCCATATAGAAAACTATATGCTCGCACTAGTAAGTACAAAAACTCAACCATAACCTACTTAGCTCGTGTTCTGTGCGATAAAGAAAGCATTAGGCGTGAAACCTTTAACTTATTAAATAGTCAGTAGGACAACTGGATCTCGTCTTTCCAACTCATATCATTTATAGGTACAACGTTTTTCTTTCTTTCTTTTCCTTTTCTCTCTCTGTTATGTGCAGCTTTGTTTCTTTCTTCTGCTTACGCCAGAAAATATGCTTGAACCTTCTTTTTTAGAACCTTCAAACACTCTGTTTAATTTTGGCTTAGCTACCGACATGCTAATATGTTGTTGTCAAAACTAACTGAGATTACCCTTAATCTATGTAGAATTTTATTTTATTGTTAATTTACCAACTGGATGCAATACTGTAGTGAAATGCTGAGAATTCCATTCTGTCTCACAAGTACTGTTTTGGAATAAAGCTATTATCATTTAAAAAAATACAGTTTTCATAGTTTATTCACATAAAGCTGCCAAAACAGTCATGACAACAGAAGAATCACAAATAGTCCTCAATTTGCAGATGATTAAAACTTAGTCTGTAGGCGTCGTAATATATTCTTCTTCAATATTCTTCAATAGGCTACAGAAATATTTCTGATCTGACAGGGAATCGAACTAGAAAATTGGTTACTTAAGAATTTCAATCAATATTTGTGTATTTACTGGGAAGATCAGGCTTTTCAACTGTAACTTACTATTCTGCAATTTTAGTTTTACCATTTGGTAGATTTAAAACAATTACCTTCACTATTGATAGTTATACAATATTAGAATCGAGGCCATTTTTACCAGTACTCTGAGTATAGTTGAAAATACAAGAGTGATGTTTAGGAAGTGATACAAACCAGAGGATATCAGTTCCAACTGTATTTTACTACTAAGTTGGAAACATGCTTCGCAAAATCAGGGATAGTCTTGAGCTTTTCCGGCAGTTATTTTTTATTCTGAAATCACTTGACAAAGTATGACATTAAAAGTCAATCTGAACGAGGAATATTCTTTTCAATAATTTCTCTTCAGGTTCTTACAATACTGGACATCGCATCGATGTCAACACAGCTTTCAGAGTTATATACCGAATTCCGAAGTCGTTATCACGTACAGTTCGCTTACGTCTCCTACACATAGCTGAAGCTGTTGCAATAAGATCGACTAAACCGGAACTGTGTATCCAAAAGGAACACGTCCAGACGCTGTTCCTACCGTGGCCAACCTTGGATTGAAGATTTTTCTTCTCACCAAGAGTGCTCCTTCCCCTTAAGCCTCTTGGTTTTTTTTTTTGTTTTTTTCTTTTTAATTTGCTTATTATTATAAATATTATTATTATTCGTCGTAATTTATGCCCTTTATGCAAACATTCCCTCAATACTATCGAATTTTCATTTATTAGTGATATTATCTGTTTTCTCAATATATGCCTCCACCTTTTTCATTTAATATATTCGTTATCTCACTATGAACCTCTCATTCCAGTCTTACTATATCCTGCTTAACTCAGGCCCCTTTGTACTAGCCACTTACCTGACACCTTTTATAACCTTGAACTGATTTGTCAATTTTCCTACCCCACACTCTACAGTTCCATTATGACTGACCACCACTATTGTCTCCCGTTTTACAATATTTCTAATCGATTTCAGCCTAGCACGTTTGTCACACAAATATCACTATTTATTTTGACACCCCATAACTAATCTGTTATTCTACGTTAAAAAATGTATCCGCCGCACACCAGGCTATCTTTATTGTAACGACCACAAATATTATATTTTATAATTGTAAGAACCTGAAGAGAAATTATTGAAAAGAATATTCTTCGTTCAGATTGACTTTTAATTCATAATATGGGAATATTTCACACTATCAAAGTATGACATTTTCAAAATAAAACGGCTTGTGTACTAAGAGTAGACTGGGCTAGTTGGAAAGTAGCATTTGCAGTGATATTTGGAGACCTTTAATTATCGGAAGTGTACCCAACATCACAAATAAGCAAATTTAAAAAAAGACGGAAAACAGAGAGCTCACCAGAGATGTTTTCCCCTTAGTGTAAAATTTCCTGAATGTGTATATCTTAGACTATTTGGATTGGACACTAGTAACTAGTGTGGTGTGTCTAGGGATTTTGTCTGACTTGGAGCATCCGCTTTACCCTCAGCTTTCACCTTGCATCTCCTCAGGTAGAACAAGGAGTAACTTCAGAAAACTGTATGCTCGCACGTCTAAGTATAGAAATTCTATGATACCATACTTGGCACGTATTTTATGTGATGAAAATAGTGTCAGGCAAGAATTAACTAACCTTTTTTCATCTAGTAAATAAACGATTTCCTCCATCCATCCTTATATACCTTCAAGTTTTACTTTTATTACTTCTATTATATTTATGGTCCTGTTACTTCCCTGTTTTACTCTCATAATTGCAAACACCAACTTATCTCCATGACGGCTGTAATCTATGTTTTTTCCTTCACCATATCATATAGAAAGAACATTATATTCAATATTTTTAAACATGTTAGGATTTCTATACCACATTGCCAATACTGTGTGACACAAGCCAACGGCAATTTTCACTTGTATTCTTATTATTATTAACCTAGCTGTTATCATTATGATTGCTATTTCCATTTTATGTTTTGTTTATGTTTTTGACACTACCTCTATTGTAAATGTGGAAAATTTTCTGTGTGATTAATTTTTATTTATAATTTGAGGAAATTAGATGCGATATTGTGATTAATGCTGAAAATTCCATTCTGTATCACAAGTACTGTTTTTGGAATAAAGTAAATCATTATTATTATTATTAGTCCTTTCTTCGCTGCAGACGGAATTCTATCAATCAAGTTTTACAATGTGGCCACCATTCTAGGTAGCTCGCCATCACGATGCACATTGATTTGATGATATTAGATGGTTGGAGGCAATGAGAAGGAAGCCTTGGACCTAGGTTTCGTGCTAGTTGGCACTCACCAGTCAGCAAGGCGTATCTGCAACCTTGAAGGAACTCATGTCCTCTCTAGGATTCGAACCCTGCTGACGAGTGCCAACTAGCACGAAACCTAGGTCCAAGGTTCCCGACCGATTGCCTCCAACTATTTAATATAATCAAATCAATGCGCACCGTGATGACGAGCTATCTAGAATGGTAGCCACATTGTAAAACTTGATTGATAGAATTCAGTCTGCAGAGAAGAAAGGACTAGGCACATCACACTAGTTAATAGTGTCCAATCAAAATATCCACTACAGTCCTACAGGAGGTCAATCGCGAGATTGAGAAACTCAGTGGCAACGTCTCTGACTGCAGTACTGGGTGACGCGGGTTCGAATCTCGGATACGCCTTGCTGTTGAGTGCACGAAACCTAGGTCCAAGGCTTCCTTCCGATTGCCTCCAACCATCTAATATGTCTTAGACTTCATGAAGGATGAAAATTGGAAATATTATTCCTCATATTGAACACGCTACTAATCAACTAAAGGAGTGCAAATGCAGTCACACAAACAATTTTCACTTTATCCCAAAGAATAGTGATTTCGTTTTAAATGGATTTTACTTTACCTTGGTGACAACTGCCCTAGAAGTCTAATACTTGTTTCACTAAATAATTAAACGAATAGAATAAACTTCATTGATAAGAATGAAGATTTTGATGGAAATTCCAGTTGGTTGGTTTCATGTCTTAAATCTCACTAGTAAATAGATTCTTGAATGCCTTTAGACATCCAGCAATCATAATAGTAACAAGTTCTTTCATGAATTGTCAAGGAAAAACTACGATTTCCGTTCATAGCATTAGAGCGAGAAAAACAGAAGTACGTTGTATATTTTCCAAATTTCTAATATCCCGATAGGGTTTAAATTATCTTCATTAGTATACTAGGTGTCATGAAAATAGGAAGGTATTTTTAAATGCTGCATTGTGTTACTAGTAAAAGTATACACGAACTATATACTAGAGGTATTATATATCTATCCACAGAGTATCAAAGTCATGATAGAAGGAGAAAGGGTAAAAAAGGAAATAAAACAAAAGATGGAAATCAAAAAAGTCAATATAAGTGGGTTAACCTACCTCTTATTCTCAGCTGTGAATTAAATGGTGCCACTAGGTCATCGTTTGGACGATCTCGGCAAACGTGTACATGAGAATCCAAAGTGTTCAGAACAATTTGTATTAAATATTCTATCATACCTCTGGTCCCACAATTAATACCTGAAGATGATGGCGAGAATATGTTTGTAGCACCTCCCCCACTTCCAAGAAGGTTAGATGGGGTAAATTGATGTGAACTGGGAACATTTACGACATTGTTACCAACACCACCACCACCACCGCTTCCAGTAACACTACCTCCTCCAGGAACAGGTTTACTTCCACTGCCACCAGCAGCTGACATTGAAGACGATAGATTCCCTGTTCCAGCATCCATTTGTACAAGTCCTTCACTTTCTGAACTTCTTTTACGCATTCTGACAGTACTACTAGTAAATGCTCCTCCTCCACCAGCTACATTTGATACTGAAGTAGATGGGATGTGTGAACCTAATGCACTGGAACTATACGACGTACCGGTGCAAATGTTCATGTTACCTGGCAGATTTCCACCTGGTGCATTGTATTCATACTACATCAATGAAGTATATAAAGAAAAGACATTTTTGGCATTGTTATACTGAATTTTTGTAGTTACAACTGATATGATTATGAATGGTAAGCTAGAAAATAGCAGTCCAGGAGTGTGAACGTACCAATGACCTTAATCCCATACTATTCGTTGGATAACGAGTCGCACCTTTGTGATCTCTGTGCACGAATCAAGGCACAAATTCCAGCCCGATCTCACTTTTAGGTAATGTTTGGATAGTAGGCTGACAGCTTTTTACGGTTAGCGCTAGTTAGGATTAGGCTTAGAGTGTGTTCGAAAGTTCTCCTGGTAAGTAATAATGTTTCATCTCGATACACCCAATAAAAAAGTTAATATGGAACTGCAACATTAGGTTAATTATCTTCTCCATGTGTTAAAAACTTTATATTTCAAAAGTGACCGTGATAAAATAAGACACTGAACCAACCTTTTCTGCACACAGAGTTAGGGTTTATATTGAAGATTCCCTAACGCCTATGACTCTTTATGGAGAAAAGGATTGTTCTGTCTTTCATTAAAGCAGAGTTTTAAACTTTTTCGCAATTGTTAGCATGCTTTTTGGTGAGCGGTTCACTACTATTATTTCCTTTTATCACATTTTACTGGGTTTCCTCTAACCTTCTTCACTTGTTGTCAAGTGGAAACACAATCTATCCAGCTCCTCATCATGTAACAGTTTTTACACCATCAGATTTAAAATATATTTCCATTGTGTCTCTGACTATTACGTAATTTTATTTTATCTCTAGAAACCACTTCAGAGTAATTGTATCAGTTATATCAAGCACCCATTGCTCAGTAACAGATTACCATATCTTTTAGCAGATAAAAATACGACTGTACATCTACTGAAGATGACTTAGTCACTGAATGGTCTTTTATTTTCTTCATGACTCAATGGGTATTTCGAGTCTTTGGAAAAGTAGTTAGAATCCTGTGACTACAATGAAAGCTGAGCAGTTAAACCATCCAGTTTCCGGGAACGTAATAATACCAGAAGCAATCAACTGAGATTCAACTTTCTATAAATTCGAATTTACGCTAGCGGGTCTTAAGAAAAAGTAAATTTATGATAAAAAAAATAAACTAAGGTTTGCTTGAGAGAAAAAAATGAGTTGAAAAAGAAAAATCGATTTTCACTTACTTTATACAAGATAACTAGAAGTGTTTGAAGCCAATGCAGCCTAACCTGAGGTTCTAATAGTTTCAAGGTGAATGTTGGTGGTTGTGTGTCAGTAGCATAACGCTGAGGTGATGCACAAAATTGTAAAACAACCAAAGTTTGATGTAGAATACAACAACCCATACTGAAGTTACGATCAAGGACACCGGCAACATGTGCCAAAAATGCATGGAAAACGGTTGAATTTCTGAATTTCCAGTTTGTATACATGAAAGGGATAAGGGAAAATCAGTACTTTAATTAAATTTATGATGAAAATATCACAGTAAAATAGTTTAACATAAGGAAGCATTCATAGACAGGGAATGTCAACTGCCTCCGTAGTTATAAATATTTTATGGTATTTTCAAGATTTTATGAAATCATCAAACTGAAGAAGTAATTTTTCATGAAATCCTATCTGAACTAGCATTTTCGTCACTTAGTATTCATTAAGAAGTCCCAACTGCACCTTTATTGAGGTTCATGGTCTAGCGCATTGGGGCAAGCTATTCATGTTAATGTTTAAACTTTGAATAATATATATCAGAACCAGTCACCTGGTGACAGCAAAAGACTTCTAGATGAAATGCCTACCGAAAAGGAGCTATTTAAAATAGATCTCCAGTTACGTTATAGCCATTAACTTCAGTAAGACCAAGTTTCAAATCTCACAGAAGATGATACTCAAAATGTCACTGGAAGTTTCGCCAGAAGAATGTCAAGTAGGAGTGTCATCTAGTCAAGACACACATTTGTTGGGTTACCTAAGAGATTGCCTTTTTCTAATTCTCGTATTAGGGATATTACAATAACGTTATAGTGGAGCATTTTTAGTAACCAATTTTCAAGAAAATATTCACAGATGTGGTTTATTTTTATCCAGCCAGACGTCAGTAGAGACAATATCGTTTTGTTTTTCATTCATTGGGAAATACAAAAACTTTTGTAATCATGAATATCATATATGCGATACCCAATACTTTTCAAACTGTTAAAAGTGAACTTGGTTTGGACATATATCTATCTGTCTGTTTTCGACATAAAACTTTGCACATATACGCGGCAGTTCAAGTCGCCACACTCCCTCCTTGTAGCACACAAAGCAACTGAAGAAAGTAGAAGAAACGCATAATAGAGACAGTGAGCAGAGGTGTGAGAAAAGGAATAGTAGTAACGAAGAACAATATAGTTTCATTGGAAATCATAAGTCACAGGGAGTGGATGCATCTGGGCCAGCCATTGAGAACGACTTTGAGCCATGTCACCAATTGTTTCCAACCATTGATTTTTACCGTCCCGAGGACCCCAACCAGTCAGGAAGTCTACACGTTCCTACGTAGATTAAACTAACTGTTGTAGATTTCATTGACTGATGAGGCCATGTTTTGGTTTGACCGCCACTAGCTCTTTTCCAGCCTAACCCTATATCAGCTAACATTGCTCGTCGAGGAAGGCGATGACTAGGCATACGTAACACATGTCGTAACCATCTCGGTCGATGTAACTTCACAACCTCGTCGATTGATTTCCCCTCTTTCCCTAGCACTCGATGCCTAACCTTAATATTGATCACCTTATTATACCACTTTACACGGGAAATAGAACACAGGCACCTATGATCAAAGACAGCTAGTTAGGCTTTTCATGTCTTCCACTCTCAATAGCCAGGTATGGCTCACAGCCATAAAGGAGGATGGAGCGGACTGATGAGCAGTACACCTGCCCTTTGTTCGATAGTCGGATATCTCGTCTACGCCAGAGACGGTGTAAACTGGCATATGCGAAACTAGCCCTCTGTATCCGTGCTGAGATTTCGTCAGAGATCAACCCGTTGGAGTTGGCTGATGGTACTTCCCAAGTAGGTGAAGCGGCCAACGTGATCTACCACTTCACTTCCTATTTCTAATCTAGGAGTCGGTGTAGTCCAGTCCTGTAACGTCATCTTGCATTTGGCGGGAGCGAATCGCATGCCAAACTTTCGTAGATTGCAACTCAAGGTGTTCAAAGACTCTGCATTTTGTCAGAGTCTTCACCTAGAAGGACTATATATTCTGCATATTCTAAGTCAACGAGATTATTCCCTAGTAGCAAGTCAATCTCTGAGTCGCTGAAGCTAGTTAGGGTTAAGTCCATTAGTACATCTATGATGAAGTTGAATAGAAATGGACATATATAACAAAAATTATTTAGTAAACGAATAACTCACCTCATTTTATGCGGTGGTATATCAAAAGAACCATCAGTATAACCAAGTAAGAAGGCCAGGTGTCTTTGAGCTTTGCTTAAAGCTTTACGATCTTTTAACTCATCTCTGGACTTATTTGCCATATTGTGACGTCCACCACTTCCACTGGAGCCACCAATCCCACTGCCAACTCCTCCATCTCCTCCACCACCACTTCCTCCACCGCTAGATCCACTGGTACCACCTTCATCCAATTTTATATCAAGTTGAACTGTAGACATAAATTTAAGCAATAAGCGAACCCATTGATGAAGTGTGTCACGTTCACTTCCGTCTAAATCTAATGCTTGTTGTATGGAACTAAGGAATTTATTATTGCTGTCAAGAAATTCACCAGCTTGTAAACCACCTAAATAATGATAAAAAAATTCATAAAGTTTATTACATTACAAATTTCCGTAGGCAATCGTACATGTAAGGGCACTACTCGTGAGAATTGATTACGCTAAATATAGTTAAAGTTGGTAATTATTCGAGGAACTTATATTCTTCATAAAAAACTAGATGTGTCCCCATTTAAATAGTAGCTTTTTAAATCAGATTATAATTTATAGAAACTGTCACTTCAAATGTAAATTTGAAATTTACATTCCTATATCGACTCATTAACGGAGAAGCCACAAGTTACGTTTTATCACAAATAATCATAAAATAACATATCACTAAGGTCTGTTAGACATTTGTTTCGTCCTAGTTTGACGCACTTCATCAGTACTTACTTATCATCCACAGCAGACTGGTTTAAAAATCTATGGGCATGTAGTGGTTTAAATAATCGATTGAACATTTATGGTTCAAAACTTCTAACTCTTACCAACTGACTACTTATAATCATTACAGTAGGATATTTTTCCCCTCCACACAGTGAAGAAGACGACAAAGACTGATAAGATAGAATAGAATATTGTTTCCTTTCAGATATTTCCTAAACTACTGAAAATGCTTAAAACGAAACAGTGCTCAGATCAAACACTCAGAAAATTCTGCTACCAAAGAAACCATGTAGGTGAGTATTATAAAAGTTGGATTTTGAAAATTTTGCTACCCCTTTAGTATGACTGTGAACAATAAATTGTGCTCTAAACTTTAAAAAATATATTTGCCGTATACTTGTCTACTGCTATAATGACAGCGTTTTATATTTTATAACTGAAAGAAGGGTAGGACGATATACACATTTCCTCAGTTTTGTACCAATCCGATACAAAATCAATTTGGTTAGATGCCTGACGAATAGAGCAGACGGATTTGTACAGATGACTCCCTGGAAAGTGAATTAGGATGCATCGAAAATATTCTTGTCCAAACTGGTTATCCTAGTAGATTTGTAGGGAGACATATGAACGCCAGGTATAGCAAAGAGAAACTAACAACAGGTGAAAAGTAACAACTGTACCTAAAATTGCAATTTAATGGGGACGTGGCCAGTGAAGTCTTACGTCTAAGATTATAGAGAGCGATAAAACGGACTTATACTGCCGCCACCCTTTGTTTGTCATTTTCCGGTCGACCAATTATGATTGATCAAGCGAAAGACGTTGCTTAGTTGTGCCACTTCCATGTGTATCTACAAATTTAGTTGCTCCTATGGAGAGAGCTATATAGGGCGAACAACTAGACAGCTTAACAAACGCATTAATAAGCATCTTCCTTCATGGTTCGGAAAAGGTCAAATAAAATCCATACGAAGTTCTATTTTGACTCATTTGATTGATAGCGGTCACCAAATTGACAGAAGTAGCGCCTTCAAAGTTATCTATCGCATTCCATCGAGCCATCTGAAGCAATGGGAATTAATTCGAGAGAACAATCCTACTCTTTGCATACAAAAGAAGTTTGTTCTACCTTTGTCTCCCCCTTGGTCTAAGTTAATTCTAATTGAAACCCTCCCACTCTCTCTTATTTTCCATTTCCTTCGTGTTTTAATGATATTTATTTAAACTCTGATTATTTGTCCTATAAATTATTATCTGATTTAACCTTTGTCTACATATACACACATATTACTACCTTCGTCATTCTTATTGCCACCTGCATAACCCTTATTATCATTATTTTCTTATCATTATAATCATCGCTATTAATGACGTTCAAAACATTTACCACATTATTATTATTACTTAATCCACAAAATCCCCGTCATTGGTTAAAATGTTTATATATAAATCTATGTAAATTTGAGTAAAGCCTGGAGAAGATCAAATTGAAAACAATATTGTTCGCTCATATGTCTTGTTCTAATATGAAAGAAGGGTAGAACAGTTAATTGATTCAGTGGTGGGATCTGACAGATGAACTATCTAAACGTTGAGGAAGCAATAAAATTTGCTATCTTTAATTTAGGAGGTAGAAAAAAATGTGAAACTGTCTCTATCCTCCCTCCCAGATAGAATTTAACAATCTACCAATGAAAATCAGGTAATAAATTGAAAGGAAAGCACGTGTCCAATTCAAAGAATTGTACATTAAACAGCCATTCAGTTAGGGATGAGAGTTAACAAGAAGCCAATAATGAAAGAAGTGTAACTAAAGATAGAAAATATGATAACTAATTATATTTTACAAGAACTTTTATAATAATGTACACTTGACATTATTTCAATTTCATTAGGAGTTTCGCGTTGTGCATTGGTGACACAGCGGTAGAATGCCCGCCAACCACCCATGTGGTCCGGGGTTCGATCCCCGGTTAACACAGTCCTTTGCCTTGCTAAGTCAGTAATGAGACTGGTAAGGAGGTTAGGTCGATAATGAGGCTAGCAACCCATCCCGTAAAAATAAACACCACTGCTACCGAAACTTCAAGCCCCTAAGTCCTATGTTCTACTGGGAACGTAAAGGAATAAAGTGATATTCAAGTGTTGGTTTGTAGGGATTTGACTGGTTTACAGGATTTCATCATGAGCTGACATCATTTAGAGAACCACTGGAAAACCTGGGAGTACTGGACAGCTGTTTCGTCCTAGTTTGGGACTCTTCATAAGTACGCACCCATCGGGATTCGAACCCAGAACCTTCCGGTTACTAGGCGAGCTCGTATACCATTAAGCCACTGGGACCCGATCCAATGGCCCATGAATAAAATAAAAAAATAATAATGAGTTTCGCGTGACTAGAAAAGATTTTCTTGGGATACACTTCTTTTTTATACAAAACTTAAGTTTCATGAACTTATGTATGACATTCTCCTCACTCTGAAGTGGAGTGATACATTAATAAATTGTGTAAAACTTGGGCACTGTGGTAGTAAGTAATTCCATATTAGTTTGTTTATTAGATGTATCACACAGTGAAACAGTATTATTTACGGATGACGTTTCGAAAAAAATTTATTGTGGTTCATAATCATATCAATTGTAATCACACGACTTTGAAATTTGAGTTTTATAGTTTTCTTTGTTTTCTCCTGTTTGTCGTCGTTGGGGGAGTAGAATTTTCCAGATATCTGGGACAGGTGTTGAATTACTCCTATTACATGTATTTGCGGTTGATTCGATAAACAAAGCTTCTGCTATCAATCTCTCCCTCCACCCCGCTGTTACATTAGATTTTAAAACTGTCAACCTATCGCATCCAGCCTGTTGTATGGTTGTATGTAATTGCATGTAGTGAGTGGTATAGCTGAACTATTCTCTAGATTTCTTATCTTATTTGGGTCAAGTAATCTAGATTTTGCTAGGTTTTTATGTTCGGCTAGTCTGACTGCCCCTGTTCTACTAGTTTGACCTACGTGTTTAACCTGACAATCATTCAAGCAGGGTATTAGATAAACTAAATTGTTTTGTTTTAACGGCTCCACAGGATCCTTTAACCGACAAAGCTTGTTTCTAATTGAGTTTGTGGTTGGTTTGAATGCCAGCCACTTTTATTCCTGCCTTGTTAGGAATTCTGCGTAAGGCTTCTGAGGTTCCTTGCTTGTATGGAATTACTGTTGATGGTTTAGATTCCTTATTGTTGGTGTCTTCATTATTATTATTATTATTATCACTATCGCCACTATCATTATTTATTTTATTTTTAGATTTCCTTACATATTACCTGACTAATTTATCCGGATAGCTATTAAGTTTCAAGGCTTCTTTTATGTGTATCACTTCTTTTCTTAGATTTTCCTTAGTACTACTTAGTTCTTGTGATCCAGTAAACAATACTGTTTCACTGTGTGATATATGTAATAAACAAACTAATATGGACTGATAAAGTCTATGAGATAGCTGATGTGAGAGGATACAAATTTGAAGATAGTATTTGTGATCGCAATATGACTCTCCTCAGTTAAATATCCTTGCACAACCTCTAGTTGTACTCAGTAAAAGCTACAATATCTGGAAAAGAATTCTCTGATATTATGAAAGTGAAAACTTAATTAAAATTTGAAAATCTTTTTGGATTCTACATAAAAGCAGCAGAAACTTAAGACTTCACATGTGTGATATAAATCAGAAGTGATTGCATCCATTCATATAAAAGTCTACTTCATCTACATCTAGCGACAGTACCGCACTTCCCTGGTGGTGGCATGAATATGAATACCAGCCGAAATGGGAGCAGAAATACAAGGAGGGTTAAGAATGGAGAGCTGTTTACATACTTCTGAACCTTTAATTATATGGTAACTGAAAGCGGTTTGTACAGGCAAAAGGATATGTGCAAGATGACTAGGATTTTACCAGACGGACACACCTAAAATTAGATCTTAATCTGAGGAAAGTGAAGAAGCAGCCTACTGGACATCGAATCAACATGAGGAGTCGATCCATACTGAAACCGCTATCTAATACGAGGACCCTTCAGCGATGAGTCGGCAGCTTTCAAAGAAGTTGAAGGTAGACTACTGCCTAAGATCAACATCCAGAAACTTAGGGAGGAAACTGAAAAAGACACCTTCACTGCAGTCCACTAAGAAAAGTCACAGACATTAAGCAACATCACCGAGGAAACCTGCGTGGAAAAACACAGGAACTCTGTGAACTGACATAGAATGTGACCTATACAGCCGTTTTCGGAAGGAAGGAGAGGCGAGACAAGGAATGGCTACCTGAGGAAACGTGTAATATTATACGAGAAAGATGGTGAAGCAGAAGATGAGTTATCGCGAAGATGAACAAAAAAGGAGAAACTGAGTGTAACTTACAAGGCACTGAATAAAGCAGTAAAAAAGAATACTTGGCAAGACAATGGAGAGATTTATGACACCCTGGCAACTAAAGCAGAACAGATTGCAGGTATTCGAGACCTCAGAATACCACATCAGATAACCAGGTAACTGTTCGGGAAGAGAATAGAGCAGATGAAACCAGTGAAAGATTGTGAAGGAACGCCGATTTCCAAAGAAGTGAAGCGAAGGGAATGCAGACCTGACCACTTCAAGCGAGTCTTGATTAGATCACCACGTACACCTCCTTCAGAAATGCCATTAGCAGACACAGAAATGCCAGTAATTACCATCATCCTAACAAAACCAGAAGTCCTAAAGGTCATGAAGTTACTGAAAGAGAGGAGAGCAGCAAAACGAAGTGGGATTCTTCCAAAAGCTCTGTAAACGGGACCAGCGCCCTCAACAAACATGCTCACTATACTATTGATAATCGCTTAGAACAAAGGAGAGGTGCCTGCTGATTAGCAGAAGGATAAACTTATCAAACTGCAAAGCAGGGCAACTCAAGAAATGATGCGTAATCATGGCTCTATCCACTCCAAGCAACATATTAAGCCGCTTCATTTTAGGGAGAATATAAGATGTCCAAAATAGAATAATTGGCCCAAAACAGACTGGATTCAGTTGCAGTCACCTCTATACTTCAAATTCATAAACTTTAGAAACGCCTTCGACATCAACGACAGTGAAGTATTTAGGCAGCTACTACACAGTGCAGTGTAGTGTTTACCTAATATACACCAAATGTACTTGCTTTTTATTCCAATATTTACCAAACTATGATATAATTTTCCTTCATTTTACATAACCGAATAACTGGAATTAATAGAAATGAAATAAATACTCTAATCATGTAAAAAAATGTACAAATGTTGCTTAGTAAATTAACGACAAATTTATTTCATCATCAACAAGATATGGAGTATTACCTGTCAATAACCCGCATACAGAAGAGATTGATGGTCGTGATCGCCTAGCCCCATGACCAAATTTAAACTGTGATCTTTGTATTCCTTCTGGTGCAATAGAATCTGAATAAATGAATTGAAAAAGTAAACAGTTTTATTTGGATGAAAAATCGTATTCCAATGTTTGCATCTGTCTATTTAGGTTTAAATGCATGCAAGATCGAAGCAATTGTTATTTATTTATCGATACAGCTTCGACACAAAAAATGATGCAAGCGAAAATTGAAGATTGATCATCTGTCAACCTTATTGAAAGGATATGGAAAAGTTTTTGATGATCCTTCTGTATGTAGATACGTATCCTGTTAAACAGAAGCTATCAGATCTTTGTTGTTTCTTAAGTCTTTAAGCTGCTGTTTGCGTTCCTTTGTCAGGAGGTGTCGGACTTTAGTTTTTGAATTGATGTATTGAATACTGCAATCAGAAATTGTAGACTTAAAATGTAAGAAATCTGCATCAGAGACATGAGTAATGTCGCTTGCTTGACTAATAAGATTTTCAAATTGGACGTACGTGTGCAGTCTGTTACTGTATAGATTTACAAACTTTCAACCCTAAAGATAGGGCTTCTAGTTGTAAGGTAGACAAGCTGACGGAGGAGTAACTGAAAACAAATTTATTGGGGTCGATAGGGAACTTTCTCTGTACTTCGACGGATTTGAGGCTCCTGTTCAATTCAGATTTGACATTCTCAGCTCGTTTTCTTTGCGCCAACATAACATATTCATTAAACGATTCTCTTTCACTTGATGATAGTTCGGAAAGAGCAAAAGACCTCTGTGATATATTTCTCTGTAACTCGAATATACGCGAGCTAATAGAATCAATCAGGTTTCTTGTGTGACGTTGGAGAGTTTTAGAATTGGTATAAATGTGATATCTTCGGAGTGCCTTCCAGAACCACTTCGGATATCGACGATTCTTAATGCAGTCTCCATAGAAGTCCAATTTTGCATTCACTTCGGCAAGTTTGACAGAGTTGCGCAGATACCCATTGAATTCCCTAACTGTCGTAGGGTCCTTACATTTTTTCAAATCATGGAAAATACCCATTGGAACATTAGATTGAAAAGAACAAGAAGTTCAGCAAAGATATCTTTTCGGCGATTTCCTTTTATTAGGACATACCAATGGACAAATATTAATTCAGTCAATACAAGACTTCAAATACGCGTTGACGCCGATTTTTTCTAATGATCCAGCCAGCGAATGTGGGTACAATAAAAAAAATTGTTCTAGACTGGATACTTTCATGATTCATCACAGTAACATATACTCCACCTAAACTCACGTGACACTGAGACAACTTTATGAAATCAAGAAAAAATAACCTACCTAATTATAAAATAAGGATGTCTGTTTGGAAACTGTGGTAGAGTAATATTATATATTTGAATGGACTTATTCGATAAAACACAGTAAATGCTACTATATCACTCTATGTTTTGTCAAAAAAATTATACTCTTATTGTGTTGTCCGACAACTGAACAGGGTAACAAATATCCAAGTGCTGAATATTATACTTACAGCTACTTTGTAGTTAATCAAAAATAATCTAGCAAAAATGTGAACAAACGTAGTCATGCCTTCTTTGCTCACCTGTATAATGTGAATCACTTGATCCAGGTTGGCTTACAGATTGTTTTCGTTTCTGACTTCCATCTTTTCCTTCCGTTTGTAATTGTGTAGATGAGGTTGAATTTGACAAAAGTAATTGTTGATGCATATTTGATTGTGTTTGTGATTGTTGTGCTTGAGTGAAACAACCAACTGTATGTGCACTGAATCGTAGAGAATAGGCACGAGAATTTAAACTTATTGATTTAAGACCGGTACTCTTATTGATTGCAAATGCAGCACGTTCAAATTGATTTTGAAAATGTTCACCAGTACGATGTGATCCATTTAAATCAGTCACTGAAATTTAAAGGTAGAGTGGATTGGTTTTCTTATGAAAACTCTAGCACATCAGGTGGTAGTAAATTCGATAAAATATTCGAACTGGCAAGAATCTTCATGACAGAGATTTTATAAGCTCGATCTGTTTCACATCTTAATATGCCAGGCTGTCAGTGTGATGGAAAAGTAGTCAATGAGTCATTAACAGTGCACAGAGAATCGGCATATATCAATCCATTTTATCAAAATGAATACGGTTTAACGCAATTTTTCCATAAAGAAAACAAGAACTCGAGATTTTATAGTAATACTGGTAGAATTTATTTACTTTGCGCGCTAATTTTTCCTTTCCGTGGTATTTCTTCCTAGCTGGTACATTTCACTACATTTTAGCGGATTATATCAAACATCCATATCAAACTTTTACTAATATGCATCATGATCATTTTTATAAAGTTATTTGTGTACTTAATAGTTATAGACTGAACAGCAAAAACAAAGCGCCAGAAAAGAATCAACAAGAAAGTGATATGAGATAAGTAATTATTGAAAACCATGGAGTTGTAGATGGTGATTTTGTCCTAATTTGGATATCTTCAGCTTTCTACACTCAAGATTTTGACAGGAATCGAGTTATCCAGTTTTCAATAAAGAAAAAATCCCCATTTAGACATTTATAAAATAGAAAGATTGAGCGAAGAAATATTTACTTTTCAGTTTTCTTCGTTAATTATTAACCCATTGACATTTTGACACTGACTAATTATTGTTAACAAACTTATCGCCACTTGATTGGCAAACTGTTGTGTATTGTAATTAAAATGCTATACGTGTATATTAGAGTAGAACCGGAGATGAGGATCTAATTGAAGAGTAAATATTTCTTCGCTCAATCTTTCTGTTATCCAGTTTTACCTATTCTCCAGTGAACTTCCAGCTGATGTCCTTGTTGAAAGGAAATCTTGAAACTAACGAAATTTTTGCTACCTTAAGATTGAAGGAGAAAGAGAAAGAACTTGAAGTGTGTGTTGGCGATTCAGTGGTAGGATGCTCACCAACCACGCAAATAGTCCGGGTTCGACTCCTAGCCGAAGTATTCTCAAATCTCACTAAGTTTCAAAGGTTGGATGTGACTCTTGTAACCTAATCCCGTAAAAATGAAACACCGACCATCTTCAGTAAGGCTTCAAAGCTTGAAGCTCTCTGTTTCCCTCAGGATGCAAAGAATTGAAAAAAAAAATACAGTGAGTGTTAATAGTGGAAACTGGAATTTCTTGTCTTACCTGAATCAATATCAACTTGATTCGGTGTATTCCCCAACTGTGCCTGTATAGCTAATAGACCAAAACGATTAACAAAGAAATCCCAAGTAAATATTTGCTTATTTGGTAGACTACAACTCAACTGATGCATACGTTGCAATATAAGACAACGATCAGCGATAACAGTGTCAAATTGAAATTCTAAACACTGTATGGCGCACTAAAAATAAAAATTGGACGAATAAATAAAACTGTATCAATAAAAACGGTAAACAGAAATTAAGTTTGGTTTACAAACTTCAAAAATGAATTTAATTCAGCATTAGCTTCCAGAAGAAAATCTTTTAATATCAAATATATAACAACGATGGATGATATCTATGTATGACCGATTGAAACATAAGTTAATAATGGAAATAAACCAACAACCAGGTTGGTTGGTAAGTCATTTGGATGAATTCTTCACGGCTCTCTGTGTGTTGATTTCACTCCCCATATTCTCTCACCTGATTTACGTAACCATCTACAACATCAGTAGTCATACAAGCAATTGAGATTATACCAATCACAAGGTAATCTTATTTTGTTTCAAACCAGATGGTTAAATGAAATAGAAAGCGCCATTGATACTCATCTCGACGTCTTTAGGATTCGTTGGAAGAGCGCATCGATACTATCAATCAAGCTAACATTTCTGCAGAAGTCCGTGTAGGATATTTTAGAGTTACAGCTAAATACTTAGTATCTAACCAATGTTCGATTGAAGCCCAATGAAGGATATCTTTGTTCTTAAGCAGCGATGAATGTTAACAGTAGTATCTATGATTGCTAAAATTGAAATGTTACGCTTTATTTCTGAAAATAAATAATCCATAAGTTTGAATAAAATTAACTGGTAAAATGAAAAGTAAGTTTAATCCGCTTGTTACACTTAATGCTGTGAACTAGCTATAATGCTAAACCGCATTACACCACTAAAATTATTTGAGATAAGCAGTCCCTAACCAAACAATATTCTTTCAAGTTTCAACTGAAAAGAAATTGAATTATCCCCCTCATTACATTATTATTATTTCCTTTAATTCCTAGAGGAACATAGGGCTTCAGCCGCGCGTCTCCATTGCCTTCGGTTTTCTGACAACTTTTCACCCCGCTCCAAGTCTGCCCACATTCTTTCATTTCCTCTTCCTTCACATGACATCCTCCAAGTCACCCCACCCTTGCACTGACGACCAACTCGCCGCCCGCTTCCCTTTCGGGTTCCACTCGAGCAATGGCTTGTCTAGTGATGTCACTTGATGGTTTGTTTTCTCAGCGTATGGCCAATCCATCTCCATTTCTTCCTGCATGTTTGTTTCACAATCGGTTCCTGTTGGGTTGGTTCGCTCATTTCCAGAGATCCTTGCTGCTCATCTTTTCTGGCCAGCCATCTGATCTTGAGTATATTGAGCGAAGACAGCTAGCTGTTAATGAAGGTCTGAAGTTTGTTGGAGATGCTCTTTATGACGCGCTGACCAAGTCTCTGATCCATCCGTATAGTAGCACTGACTGACTTCACATTGGAGTTGAAAATCCTCATCTTATTTTCGATTTCATGTTGAGTGCTGTTGACCTCCTGCAAACAGACTTGAGAGTAATGAAAGCTTGTCTTGCTTTTCCGATTCTGGCTTTGATATCTTCGTCAGTTCCGTCGGCCTGTAGTTGAAAAGATGCTTCCCAGGTAGGTGTGTAGGTAAAGGAGGTTGTTTCTTCCAGGTTCCTCCCATTTATGCTGGGTGATTGTTGTCTGTTGTTGTTGTTGCTGTGGCTTTTGGTGTTGGCCAGGAATCTTCATCACCTCTGTTTTATCTATGTTCACCTGAATGGTGTCCTATCTTCTCTGGATGCTTGTTCTGCCAGCTTGTTGCTTTTCACTTGCATATCTTCCAGTTTGTGGGAAATCAGACATATGTCATCATAGGCGAAGTCCAGATCCTCCAAGTTTTTTGTGTGAGTCCATTTTATGCCTGTTTCCTCATCTCCCGTTGTCTGTCTCATTATCCAATCTACTGCAATCAGGAAGATCATTGGTGATGGTAGACAGTCTTGCCTCACTCCCGTCCTCACTTCGAGGGCTCCCGTAAGTTTCCCGTTGTGGATTACTTGGCATGCAGCATTGTCGTATAACTGTTGGATGAGATATATAATTATCGATGGGACCCCGTAGTAGCGAAGTAGTTGCCAAATGACCTCTCGGTCGACGCTGTCGAAGGCCTTTTCAAAGTCATTACATAACCAAGGTGATATTCACAATAATTTATTATTTAGTTGTTGTGGGTGAATATTCAGAGGCATAATTATGATCAAAATCTTGTGTTTATACAACCTATGAATACTAATCCCTTATCCACGTAACTAATGTTATGAATTGATAAATGATATGAGTATCTCTTGTAAACATTAAGCTTTCAATATTATTTTAATAAGTACGCATAATAGAGCAAAAGTCAAAGGGAATTAATTAACGATTAAAGTTTAATTTGTTGTACTCATATAAGACAGACAACTAAAAGTATATTCTGTTAGCTGCTTAAGGGATGCATACCAATATATATTTACGTCAAGAGACATGACAATGGTAGTCGGGTGATCCAAATAAAGCAGTAATTGAATCACAGTGAAGCGGTATTATTTACTGGATAACGTTTCGAATACAATTTGCTGTTGGTAATCAAGCTCAGTGAGTTGGTTTCAAACTTACAAAATACTTCTTTTTGGGTTGTTAAGTAACTTTATGAGCTATTATTAAGTGTAGATCCATAGTGATTTGTTTACTGGATATATTACACAGGGAAATGGCATAGTTTATGAACAATAAATTCTGTTCAAAATACCATCCAGTAATTAATGAGATTTTATTGTGTGACATTTCCTAAAAACAAATTAATATAGAATTACAGACTACCACAATGTCAGAAATTTACATGTCTGAGAATGACATGGAGGAAGTCGTGCGGAAGCTGATTGTGGAACCAGCAGAAAAGAAGTACAGAGAACAGAACCAAATGATGTGCTGTTGTGAAACCGTATGTTCTACTCGGAACCCATGGAAATGATAATAATAAAGTGCTTTGAATAGCAGAAAGAGACAGTTAAGTAAAAAAAAGTCGGCGAAATATTGAACCCTCGACGTTGACTGAGTGATTGAATCGACTTCAAGTCCATAGAGTGCGTAGTTTCTACAGCATGGAAAAGGATAACCAATCAACTAGAGAAATATGTGGTTGAAAGACTTAAATTGAATTCATTGGAAGAGTGAGACGATGTGTTATCGATGTTACCGATACAGGGAGCGAAAACGTGTTCACTTTTGTCACATATTGTGCAGCACAACAAATATCACCGTTAACTAGTATGTAGTGTGTGCATTTCGGCCGTTTCTCAAAAAGCCTACACAGATCTTCACACTTCTGAATTACATTCCGTTATCATTTTTGTGGTGCAGACAACACTGAATATTTGACTAGAATCAGTTTCCAGGTGACTGAATCGTGCTTTTTTGTGACACATTTCAACTATCATGTCTGATAATAAATGAGTTCACAATCCCATTACTTGATTTATATTTCCTGCTACATTAAATACGTTTAGGTTTAACGTTATTCCAAAAAATGTAGAGGTTATAATCGTTACTCATTATTGCTCTTTTTACTTTAGTTAAAATGTCTGATTATGTGGTTTTAGAGATAGAATTAAATTTACTAAGCATATTGTATCTAGTGGTACGTCGGCAGTTCAGAGGTGGAATATAAGCCAGTGACGTCCCACGTAGTCTGTAGTTCGATTCCCAGTATCAAGCCCGGTAAAGAGACTTAAGGTTAGGCGCAAGATCAGCAACCCTACCCCATAAAACAAACACTACCATTGCTTCTGAAACTTCAATGCTCGTAGGTTGAAGTTCTATGTTCCACTCAGAACGTGAAGGAAGGGAAAAACGGGGTTTGTATATCTAGTAAAATACTGGTAAGTGTCATTTCCTTTTGTATTGTGGGATGCAGAAGGGGGTATTGGCGAAAATCTGATCTATGATGACCATATTTCATGGTAAAATGGTATCTGTCTAAACTTATAATTTGATGAAAGTGTTAGTGGCTGCTCGTTATTCTCCACTCTGATTGGTTGAAAGTCATACATCATATTTACTGGTCTCTCGTATAGTTGTTATATAACTGTTTAATATTCCTTTTTGCTATTTTATTTTATTTATTGATCTTGAGGTTATTATTTTGAGTTGTCTTCTTTTCATCCTCTTTTTTCCCCACATCACTCACTCTATATTCTTTAATTCTCTATCGCTCACTTTCTACATATACTCGAAACGAATTTATTGGTAAACTGGTTACGGTTTGTTTGCATGCTGTAACATACCCACTTATGTATTGATTGTTGTTCTCATTATATATATACACAATGCCTACTAATCATCATTTGTCTTTGGTTAATTTTTTGGGTCTCTGGTTCCCATCCCCGCTTCTGTGCCTTATTGTTTGGTTGCTTCTATTAACCAATTTATTGTGTTTTCTGAGTATTTTGCATTTGAATGTTTTGCATGTGTGTGTGGGGTTTGCATTTTGCCACCATTATACTCTTGTTTCTTCACCCTACTACTTAACCCCTCTACCCATATAATATAGTATCTACTTTCTGTTCCACACGTGTTGTTCATCATTCAACCCTATAATGATCATAATCAGCAACAGCAGCAGCAGCAACAACAACAACAACAAGAGATTTTACGCATTACTCAGTGTTAAACTTCTTTTATTCTCCCCTCTTTAATCCCTTTCGTTTTTTATATAATCCCTACATTTTTCTTTTCCGTTTCACTCCTCTATTTTTTTGACAATTTATGTGCATAGTTTATTCTCAGTGAGTGGTTACGCACCATTTCTCCGGAGCTGAACAGTGTAATTATACATGAAACAAAAATTCATCTGAGTATGACAGCAACAAAAAAACATGTATTAGTAAATAAAGAATAAATATCTAGGTTTCTTTTTAATTTCCAAATAATAATAATATTGTATAGTTCACCTAAATCTGCAGTATGTGTATAAATTGGTGAGAGATCTTTCCTAGTTGTAATATCACACTCAGCGAATTCAATCTCAGGACACGTACACACACAGAAAGTACCGTATATTATTATAGTAATGTATGTGTTTTTCTTTCTTTCCGTGTACATGTGTGGTGAGAGCAGGCTGCTAGCCAATTAGTAGACATTAATCTACGTCAATGTCTAGGTCACTAATATTGGCCGTGAGAAAATATGAACAAGGCTGATTCAACAACCAATCACAGCAGACTTAACGTGGGCAAATATGATTCGTAGATATATGGCTCCACTTTCCGAGAAATCTCGAAAATAACCAATCAGAAGACTGTGTTTGTCAACTTGAATAAGCTATAATAATGTACATGAAATATATATAAATACGTGTTGATTTCTGTAATAAAAGGATCTGTTGCCGGCCCTTGTCTTCTGTTGTTACACATTGAGTTAGTTCTGCGTCATTGACTTTGCTCTTGTTTTATTTCACATCTCTTCTTCTTACATTAAATCAGAAGTTATAAATTTATCTTTATATAAACCGGAAGAGTACTCATCATTACAGTACTCATTTATTTAAGTGAGAAAACAAAAATAAATTCGAAAATTCCCATTACTAACTTTTACGCAATTATATTTTACTTACAGCTAAGGAGATACTGTGCAATGAAGCTAATTGTATTGCAGTGTATTGAGCAATCATTGAATTAGGATCGTCCAATGAACCAATTAAACAACAAAATGCATGTGCTATTGCGCTCTGAATTAAAGGATTACGATTATTACTGGTGTTTGTATTCATTTTACTGGTAGGTTCTGTATTAGTTCCCCCATGTTGTCTTACTAAATGACCACTAGGTACATTTTTACGACCAGCATTAAATTTTGTACGTCCAATATGTGTTACACCTGTTAGTCTACAGAACAGATTCACTGCACCTGAACTTGCCATACTTCCACCTGATAATAAATGAGTTAGTTTATTTCCAGCTGAACCACTAAAGCCACCAGCTAATATATAATAGTCTAATTCTCTTAGTAGTACAGATACTTTTTCTATTGCGTCAAAACGAATCCTCCAGTCATGATGAGAGAAATCACGTTCAATCAACTTCCAGAGTATATTAAATCCTCCAGGAAATGAAAGACAGTGTAAAATTAACGGTACTGTCCAACTGGCTAAATGTGATAGCTCTGATTTCAGTAGACTCCATAAACTGTTATGAGAATGAAAAACAACAGGAGAGAGATTAGATACATTTTGCATAAAAGTACAAATTTAACAGAAAACGAAGGAATTGATATTCAGATAATTTAAAATGCTCGAATTCCTACCAATAAAACTTAACTCTCAAGCTGAATGCGATTTTTAAACTAAAGATTATGTTCAATGAACAAAAAAGCTGATTTAGTCTGAAAATAACTAATAAATAAATTTCTTTTTACATTGAGTCTACCAGTCATGTGCGACTGTATTGGAGTTTACATTAACAGTATAAGTATATCAACTGTAATACATTACGGAAAAATAATAAAACGATACATTTCATCATTTCTGTCAATTTGCACTTGATCACCACTGCCATCCGGTGTAATAAGTAGGCATCTATCCACGCATCCAACTTGGTGAACCCTACCGGTCACTACTTCTTATTCGAATTCCAGGAAGCCCAACTTGTAGTTGGTTACTAGTGAGCAGTGGATTTAGAGTCACCAACTAAACAGCAACTTCCTTACCTCGTAATCTGAAAGTCCTGGTTTCGATCACTAGTCCTATGAGGGGTACATCCTACTGAGGAGTCCCAAAATAAGTTGGAATAGTTGTCTATTGGTGTCTGGTTTCAAATAGTTCTCAAATAAGTGGTAATTCTTAGCGAAATATACCTTGAAACTGAAAGAATCCCTGCAAAACAATCCTTGAAAAAAGTTCATTTGGTTAACAAGTGATTTTATACCTATCTAACATCCTACTTGACACGCAACTAAGAGCTACGACTGCCAGTTGGAAAATTTCCCCCTCAACTCTTACGATTCCGTCTAAAATAAGAGTCGCAGATGTTGTCTGTTGTATCATACTTTGGAATATTTTTGTTTCTATGTGATGCTGTTTTCAACATCCATTCACGTTCTTTCTCGTAATAACAGTATGCGTACAGTATACAAACTGAAGCTTGAAAATGCGGAAATCACCATTGATATAAGCATTTATGTATAGAGATAACTAGATTTGTAGTTTTTCCTAAGAATATTTCTTTCTGTTACATTACACCGATAAATAAACTAGGTGCACTACGTACCTTGGAATCAAATGTGAGTGAATTAAGTAGTAGACAAAATTCTTTTGAGCTTTCGGTGTTGCAGTACAGTTACGGGAAGTTAGAGTTTTCGTAGCCTGTATTGACTGTCCTTTGATCAATAAATCCTGACTAATTGATTGACCCGGAAGTTTATTTCCAGCTAATCCTACTAAGCTGCTAATGCCAATGGCTGTCTGTGCTCCTAGTGCAGTGGAACCTCCAGTATTCAGCATACCACCAGTATTTATTGCTCCTGTTGTCATAGTTGAGGTTGGATTAGTAGATGTTGCAGATGTTGAACTACTCGAACTGGCAGTAGACAGTTTTTGTTCTTCCCTTTCTGCTTTCATTATCACTTGTCTTAATGCATCACCGATATGACATAGATAAGCTAAACATTCTAAAATACACTGTAGTACAACAGGATCACGAAAGACTTTTAGTTCAACATTTGCCTGATCAATGGATGAAGATGATAGTGATGATGATGCAATTGATTGTTCATCTAATACTGATGGCTTTAGTGAAGTTGATCGTGTGCTCTGAAAAAAATTATCTGATTCTGCAATTATATCTTCATGATCAGTACAGCGACGTGTACCATCTTTAAGAAATCGTGTTAATAAGTAAACAAGGCGCAATACTGGTGGAACTGAACATAAGTCTTCAGAAGAAGGTAATGCAGGACACTTTTGTGCATTATCTAGTGTAACAGATGAGGTTTTGTTTTCTAATATTCCAGTACTATTGAAATCACCCCATTCAGTGTATTCTAAAATTATAAAAAGGTAGGTGTATGTTATAGTTATGAAGTACTATAGTAACAAAATGCAAAGTATGATGAAAAATGTAACCGTCATGATCTTGGGCTGAAGTTTTATCTTTAAATTAATAATCAGTCCTTTATATAACAAACCTTTCGTGTGCTTAAACCATTTTTAATGCAGCAAAGTTGTCACTGTAAAAGTCAAGTAAAGAAAAACTTGAAAATGTACATGGGAACAAGCTTGTATTAATATGATTTAAAAATGACACTAAAATATCAGTTTATGGACGGTAAATAATTTCATTGGCATTACGCGTGCTTTAGAAAAAATTACATGTTACGCTGAATTGGCTCTAGATTAGCGACCCGATGAATTACCTGCCGCGATGGATGCGATTTATCTTGTATTTCACCATCAATCAAAACCCAAAGTAACAATAAAGTTTGTAACATTTCACAGCTTTTACTAATTTCAAGGATTCAAATAACTCATCAGCCGGAATCTAAGGGTTAAGATACATTAGGACGGCGTTTACATCACTTAATCCGACGCTGATTCTTTTCGACGTGACAAAGAAATTAGAAATTACTGAAGAAAGAATATTCTTTTCGATAACTTATTCATCAGGCTCAACAGTTATATATCCATAATAAAGCACGCATCCATAACGTACCGAGTGAAATAATTACTAACAAGTTAAGAAAATCCATTCAAAGAACTCCTAATGCTGGTATACTACAAGCGATATTTTCTACATGACCGGTTGTGATTCCCCGATTGAAAGATGAAGTACCTAGATTAGCCACCTCTGATTGTATCTACTAATTCAACTGTGCTTGTGGTGTAGCGAGTTATATTGACTGTTGCTCTAGGAACTTGACTTTTCCTGCTTGTGAACACCTACTGGTGTGGCTGCATAAAGGTATGGTGAAAAACACCAACAGTTCTATATTAGACCACCTGGTCCAAACCGGCCACGAAGCTAGCATTTAAGAGCCCTTCCCCATCATCTTTCGGGTACCAAATAATTGCCAAAAGCACCTAGGTACCTCATATTCGAAACAGCAGAGGCTTTTGAGATTCGTATGAAACAACTGGTGCTATGTGGGTAGAAAAAACAGGTCCAACCACTTTTACTACTCTAACCTGCTGTGGAGTCCACAAATTCATAAATACCTTGTTACTTTGGGCTTGCTTGACATGGTCCTCTATCCTGTACGTATTAATTCCCCTAGCACTCGTTATAACACTTGCATTAATTAAAATTTTGTTTTTTTATTTAAACGTAATAGTTAACATACACGGTGATACACATACAACGCACATTATCTTCTACCCCAAATTTTTCTCTCCTTCCCCCTGCGTCCTTGACGAGATCATTCATCCATTTGAAGTTTATCATCAATATGAATAGAATCGAATATGAACATGACTTACGAGAATTTATTACCACATATTCATTGTCTTTCGTAATCATTCGCTTTGTAATATTGGTGTTCAATTTAGTGTTACCGCTAAACATGTTGCTACATCCATATATTTTAGACTGTAATCTCTTAACAGTCTATTTGCAAATAACTTTAGGAATTCTGATGTTAATGATTCACTAATGTTGTCAGCAATAATTATTCTTTCATTATTATGGATGCACAAGCGTAGAACCTGATGATGAAGCTATCGAAGAGAATATTCTTTGTTCAGTAACCAATCTTTTGAAATTTCTAGTGGGCATATTCAGTCAATTAAGATTAGAAATTCACTATTGTACTGTAAAACACGAACATTTTACAATGGCATTTAAATTACAATGTAGCAACTGTAAACTTCTGTACCCAAAGAAATTTTAAGTTAGAAAGATATAAGTGTATAACAACTTACCCGGGAAGTTTGTAGCATTCGCCAATGAGTCAAGTGTGAAATCGACTGTAACTTTAGGCGTTGGTCTAATTGGTGCTAAGTGTTGACATATTAATCTAGCATAATTAAACCATGTCAACATATCTAAACAATCAATGCATTCACTGGGCATCTCATCCGTTTCCTTGTTTACACCAGGTAAATTATTATTATCACCAGTATTATTAATATTATTACTAGAGATTGGTACTGATGTGACTGGCAGCTTTGCATCATTTGTTAATCTGTTATTATATTTAGGTAGAATACATGTTTCCATTCCAATACAATATAGATTTCTTAAACCAGGACTTGTTGTTTGATCCGCTGTTTCGGCTACATTACCCCAATATAATTCTAACATGTCACCAAGTAGCCATAATAATAAATTGGGTGTTTCTTGTGTATATCCAGAATGTCCTATTGGATCCAAGATTTTTAACTATTGAATTCAATGAATAAATATATATCATAATTGAATACGATAACTCCAGGAAAATAATTACATAGATTATTTTAATATAGTTTTAAGCTGATTTAATTAATAATAACATAAGACATTTGACTTTATGCACAATCTATGTCGATTAAACAAAGTGAAGACATTTGATGAAAGATATTTTAAAATACAGTTTTCGCGGATTATCTTTGGTTATAAAGTTATGAGTTTCTAAAGTGTAACTGAAAAGCTGCCTAAAATGACATCGAATAGTCATCAGTAGGTGAAGATCTAAACTCGATAAGCAACAAACAATTTGGAAGTCAGGGTGTGTTATCAAAATGTTACAAATATGTTTATTTCTGTGTCATCCCAGAGGATAAGAGTCTAAGTGTTAAAAATATAGTATATACAAAAGTGACTACAACTGATGTATTGTTTTATTTTATTCTTCTTAACTTTTAATGAACTATTTTACTTAATTTATATTAATAAGATTTATTTCTTGTGCTAAGAGTTTAACATAGCTATAATAGTTTATCACAAAGTATGTAAAAGTCAAGTTAAGCTACTCTCTGTAAGACTGCCTTTCTCTTTGTGAGCCTCAGTATTATTATTGTTCCCTTGGGTTCCTGGTGGAACATAGGGCTTCAACTGCACGTCTCCACTTCCTTCTGTCTTCCTTCTGCTTTACTTTTCACCTGCATCCATGTTAGTCCATACTCTTTCAACTCCTCTTCACACGATCTCCTCCATGTCACCCTTGCACTGACGTCCTACTTGTGGCTTCCTTTTCGGCCTGGTTCCACTGGAGCAATGGTCTGACGCGCGCGCGATGTCACCAGCTGGCCTCCTGAGCGAGTGTCCAATCCATCCATCTCCCTTTCTCCTGCATATTTTTTGGTTGGCGATTGGTTCTTGTTTTATTTGCTTGTGCGCATAGTTTCTTGTTGTTGATTCTTTCCGGCCCGGCCATCTGATCTTCAGTATAGAGCCAGCGAAGACAGTTGCTGGTTGATGAAGGTCTGCAACAGGCTGTTGGAAATATTCTTTGTGACCCGCCCACCAAGTTTCTCATCTGTATAGAAGAACTGACTGACTTGACGTTGTTTGTATGGAAAATCCGACTGGATTTTGTTGTTGTTGTTGGCTGAGTGACGAAGATTTCCAGATTGGTTTCAGGTTGATGAATGTGCTTCTCGCCTTCCCGATTCTCGCTCTATTTCACATACTCGTCCGTTGCGGCTGCCTGTAGTTGAGACAATGCTCCCTAGATAAGTGAATGAATGAAGTAACCTCTTTCAAATCCCTCCCGTTGATGGTGATTGGCGCTGGATGTTGTGTTGTTGTTGTTGTTTGGTTATTTTCATCACCTCCGTGTTGTCTATGTTCACTTGGAGTCCTGTCTTCGCCGGCTGCTTCTTCGACCAGTTTGTCGGTTTTCGCTTGTAAGTCTTAGATTGTGTGTGACACGAAGCATAAATCATCCACGCGCGAAATCCAGGTCTTCTAGGTTCTTCACGTCGGTCCAGGATATCCATGTCTTCTCGTTTCCAACTGTCTGACGCATAATCCAGTCCATCACAATTAGGAATATCATTGGTGATAGTAGGCACCCTTGTCTGACTCCTGTGTTTACTCCAAACGCCTCGCTGAGTTTTCCGTTGTGGATCACTTGACATGTGCCGTTGTCGTATAGCCGTTGAATAAGGTTGATGAATATTCGGGGTACGCCGTAGTATTCGAGTAGTTTGCAAATTACTTCACGGTCAACGCTGTCGAAGGCCTTTTCAAAGTCTATAAAGTTGAGGTAGAGGTTTGATTGCCATTCCATGCTTTGTTCGATGATGATGCATAGAGTTGCAATTTGGTCAGTACATGATTTGCCTTTCCTGAATCCAGCTTGTTCTGGTCGGAGTTCTGCATCCAGTGCGTCTTTTATTCTCTTCAGGATGATGCTACTCATGATTTTACTTAGGGTCGACGGGAGCATGATTCCTCGCCAGTTCTTGCAGAGTCCTAAGTCGCCCTTCTTTGGTAGTTTTACGAGGTAACCTTTCTTCAGTAATTCAAGAATATTGTAGGCACTTATTTCTCCAGCTGAATCACTTGTTTTGATTTCACACCTATTACTCACTAGTAATATTCACACATCCGATTAAGTGATCATAAAGAAGTGTAGGATTGTCTCTGAACTAATTGATAACTGATATGTAACAAACTACCAGATATGAGCAATTAACCTATCTTAATGAATGGGTACAGACATATTCACATAAAATCTGAGAACATTAAAATTTGTCCGCAGGCACATAAAGAGTTCACTCAATGATGATCTTTTTCGGTGAAATCTAGACAGCTGACAAGGAACTGCTAAGATTAATCAGAGATGGCAGGTCTATAAAATTAGGTGTTAGCAAGCTCATAACCAAGAAGAATCACCGAGTGATTCAGTCGTAACGGAGAGGATTTTAATGATGACCTGAACAGTCTAAAAAATAGTTCATGTCATCTCTAACTACTCTTTGCTCGCTCATCATTCACTTTCAGCATGGATGTCAGAATGACATACTTCATGATACTTGCAGAATTCAATCTGTATGTAGCAGTAAATGCGAGAGAACAGCACGATTTGAGCAGCTTAATAATTAATGGCCAAACTGATTAAGATTTTAACGTGAAACAAGCATCATTCTAACTAATCGGTTCTAATCATTAATTGTCCTCAATGCGATAATCACAAAAGTATTAATCTCATAAAAAATGAAATCTTATTATTCGTAGTTACAGGACTCTCAGCTACACACAAGAAGTAACCGACTCCAAAAACCGGAATTAAATCGTACCTGATTTTTATTATCTTGGTCAGATACTCATTTTCCATCAGGTTATAAAACACAATCAGACCTACTGAGCTCAATATCAATTAAATTTCGTAACCCGAAAGTGACATTTTCATCTGCCGACAAAGAAACATTATAAAAACGTTTTCCCACTGAAACGGACACACAAAAGGCTGTTGCTTGAATATGATAAGTCAAATTATTTATCTTCATAGAATAGTTGGACATATTTATTTCTCGAAACGAATTTAAAACAAACAACAAGTGTTAATAAAATATGTTATTTGTTTCATTGAATTATTATTATATCCTTTAATTCCTAGAGGAACATAGGGCTTCAGCCACGCGTCTCCATTGCCTTCGGTTTTCTGACAACTTTTCACCCCGCTCCAAGTCTGCCCACATTCTTTCATTTCCTCTTCCTTCACATGACCTCCTCCAAGTCACCCCACCCTTGCACTGACGACCAACTCGCCGCCCGCTTCCCTTTCGGGTTCCACTCGAGCAATGGCTTGTCTAGTGATGTCACTTGATGGTTTGTTTTCTCAGCGTATGGCCAATCCATCTCCATTTCTTCCTGCCTGTTTGTTTCACAATAGGTTCCTGTTGGGTTGGTTCGCTCGTTGCCAGAGATCCTTGTTGCTCATCTTTTCTGGCCAGCCATCTGATCTTGAGTAGTATTGAGCGAAGACAGCTGTTAATGAAGATGTGAAGTTTGTTTGAATGGCTGGGTCAAACATATCATCTTCCTTTTTCACTCGAATGTATGAAAGTCTCTCACTGAGCATTTGACTTTGCATGGATGAATCGCCTCTCAGAAGATTTGATAGATGATTTAGAGCATATAGATGAGGTGATCACGTTGGATGTAGATAGTGTGACAAGATATTTAATTCTTTCAAATTTTTTTAATTAAGAATTTTAAAGTGTTTGTTATGCATTTTTCAACCCATCTCAGAATGATACTTAAGGACTGTTGTGTATGAATACCCTTTTTGGCTATGCAACGAATTAATCTGGCCAGCTGCGTTAACCACTTAAAAAATCTGAGAGATGATATCAATAGTAGCGGGTCAGTGTGTGAAGAAATTGTGGAGGCTTACTTAGCTTTTATCTGACCGCAATGCTTATGGACTAGGCATGACACTGACCGTCCATTTACGGTTCTGTGAACCTTGTGTACTAGTGGTTTATTCTAACTGTTTGGTTGAAAGACATGGATGTTAGAATTAAAAGACATTCAAATATTTCAAGCATTTGATTACTACTGTTTACGTAGTACCGCCTGCTTCGGTATAACCACTACATGAGTCATTAATTGTTCAGAACTAAAAGCCTCGAGTAAGAAAGATTATTTATTTGAAGAGAACACAAGTATTTCCTAATATTATCTACTTTATATTCACACATGAGAAATGTTAGCAGTAGATCATGTATCGATAAGGTTGTTATTCATGATCTTACAGTTGACTTTTTTCAATAATTATTTCCACAAAATAATTTCGAAGACAAGTTAGGGTGCAGCAGGTCGGGTGTGAGGACAAATACTCGCCGAAGACATTGACTAGCGGTCGCTCTATGTCATGAAGTGGCAGAAGTTAGAATTCATGGGCCATTGGATCGGGTCCCAGTGGCTTAATGGTCTAGGAGCTCGCCTTGTAACCAGAAGGTCATAGGTTCGAACCCTGGTGGTGGGTGCGTACTGTGAAGAGTCCCAAACCAGGACGAAACAACTGTCCAGTACTCCTCGCTGGTTTTCCAATAGTTCTCTAACTAATGTCAGCTCATGATGAAATCCTGTAACAAATTATTCGTTGGATATTGATTAATAATAGGGATACAATGTAAGCGAAACTTCATTTGAACTAACCGGTATGAACCAGAATCAAAGTACGTAAGAATATAGCTTGTATTACATTATAATTTCTCTTGGATGAAAGTAAGATGTATACAAATTAGCAATGTAAATCTAACAGCTTTTCTCAACTTCATTTGAGAACTAGAGGCATGAAATCTCAGTCATATTAATTAATTGCATAAAAAACTAAGATTACCTGTCGATAAGCAATGTTTAACATATGCGTTAAACATGCAGTCATTCTATACGGAGAATTTGAAATTTGTTTCTTTGTTTGTTGTTGACTTGGTAAATCGTGGATAATTGGTGTCTCAGACTCATTTGACTGTTTTACTTCTTTTTCTACGGTGAGCTTACGTTGATTTAATTTATTCTGTGTACTCTCATCACCTTTACTGTCTGTTGATTGGTCACACTTGTCAGAATTATCTTCATGAGTTACTGATAATGAAGTGGTAGGCCGACTGCTGGACTCTGTTGGTGGAATACGTTTTGAACGATTCTGTTTACTTGTTTTACGTAGATTGATAGATGTAAATGGCTTAGAGGTGTTTTTGTCTTCTATAATACTTGATAATAAACTTTTAGTTTCATCTAATGTTGGATCTTCATCACCCTCTGTATAATCATTTTCATCAACTAAAAATTGATTCCCAGTGGATACAGGATTTCTATCCAAATATTCATAGTAATCATCACCTCTTGAATGACTAAATTCTTCTGAGAAGACATCACTTTCATTTCCATCGTGTAAATGATCCTCACCACCAATATCATCATCTTCATCATGCAGTGTTTTCTCTGATAAAATCCCGTGCTCATTTAACCAGTCAGCTTCACTAACTGTATTCTGTCCGAGTGAATCATCCTCTGCTTCTGAATCTGTATAGTCAACATTATCATTATCATCTTCATCATCATATTCTTCACTAGAAGGTAATAATAATTCTAAGTACAAAGAGGCTACACCAGCTGCAAACATTGTGAGAAGTTCTTTCATAGGGATTGGAACCTCTACAATTGTCAAGATCTAAAAATAAAGGAACACAATTGAACATATTTAAATATTGTGCCGTAGTAGAATAATGTGTTACTTTTTCATGAAAAATGCCAGTAAATAAATGTGAACCACTTAACAGCTGAATAATCAGTCGCCGTAGATACCGAGATCTAAACCATTAACTGTTCAATCTTATTATTGTTATAAGAATTCGCAACACTAGAGAACTTCGTAGAGCATCGGTGGCGCAGTGGTTAGGACGCTCGCCGACCATGCATATAGTCCGGGGTTCGATTCCCGGCCACAGACTCACTCCTTTACCTCGCTAAACCAGAATTAAATCTGGTAAAGAGGAAAGGTTGGGCATGGAGCTAGTAACCCCATCCTGTAAAAATTAACACTGCTACAGAAATTTCAAGCTTCTGGCTTGAAGCCCTATGTTCCACTGGGAACGTGAAGGAATAAAAAAAGAGAACTTCGTAGCAATAAGTGCACTTCTTTAGGTATCATTTATAAAAAAATTGCCTAGTTGTATCAAAAAGAGTAGGAAAAACTGTTTTATGAAGGATGATTAAACTTGGAAAAGTCATTTCAAGGACAATACATATTCAACTGAGAACTTTCTTTTTGAAAGTTATGCAAATACACAATTAGTGAGAAAAAACTTCTACTTATTTGTTTAGTTAGGCAGTAAATTGTTATAACAGATGACTAATCTTTGGCATTATAGATAAGGTTTTATTTTGATAAATCGCACAGTGTTTACAGTTATATGAACTGATGACGTTTCGAGCACAAACTATTGCTCATAATCATATCAAGCTACTCACACAACTTTGATCTCTCATTTATATACATATGTGGAAACGTGGAAACGTCATCAGTTCATATAACTGTAAACACTGTGCGATTTATCAAAATAAAACCTTATCTATAATGGAATTATACTCTACCACAGTGCCCAAGTTTTATACTTATATCAATAATCTTTGGCATTCGTGAACTCAACAATTTTTTTCCCTTCACGTTCCCCAGTGGAACATAGGGCTTCAAGCTAGTGGCTTGAAGTTTCTGTAGCAGTGTTTAATTTTACAAAATGGGGTTGCTAGCCTCATGCCCAACCTTTCCTCTTTACCAGGATTATTTCTGGCTCAGCGAGGTAAAGGAGTGCATCTGTGGCCGGGGATCGAACCCTGGACCATGTGCATGGTCGGCGAGCGTCCTAACCGCTATGCCACCGACGCGGACTCAACAATACACTTCCCAAAATAAAAAGAACAGAAATTCTATATATACTTCTCATATATCACTGAGGTTTCTTTTTCTGTTTTGACACCCGTTTCTTCTAAGTTCAGTTTAAATAAAAGTTTAAACTGTTGTACAGATGAGCTATTACCTTGTTGCTTTTGTGGCTTACAATTAACTTTATAATGTCTACATGCAGTTACAATAGTGTGCAGCATTCACCAGATCTGTTCATCAGCACAATAATACAGATATCTTGGAAATACGTGATCGTCTTTTACTCCTGAGCTTTAGTAGCCTTAGAAAAAACATTATGTATGATTTTTTTTTACCGAATATTTCATTGTTTCGAAACATTTTGTGACAAAAACAAACCGAAAAAAGAAAACACAAACTGCTTGACAAAACGTCAAACAGGTACATGCATTGCTTAAGTCAGGATCATTTGGGAGTCTTATATAAATCCTTTAAAGACCAAGTTCTTCTTAAGTAATTATGAGACCTGAATGCTTTGCAGTATATTCATTTAATCTGAATTCTCAAATTAGATTTATGCTTATTGTTCAACCAGTGGGCTTGACTACCTTTATGTCTACTACACTGATTATTATATTTAGAAGATTTTTCTGTTGTCGTTGTTGACACTGTGTCAGCTGACATAAATGTGTACACATCATATATGCCGGCAGAAAAATACCACAAACGGAGTATTGCGCCTGTACAAAGATTAGGTTTTATTATTATTATTGTTCCCTTGGGTTCCTGGTGGAACATAGGGCTTCAACTGCACGTCTCCACTTCCTTCTGTCTTCCTTCTGCTTTACTTTTCACCTGCATCCATGTTAGTCCATACTCTTTCAACTCCTCTTCACACGATCTCCTCCATGTCACCGTTGCACCGATGACCCACTCGCCGCTTCCCTTTCGGCCTAGTTCCACTGGAGCAATGGTCTGACGCGCGCGCGATATCAACCAGTGGCCTCTTCAGCGAGTGTCCAATCCATCCATCTCCACTTTCTCCTGCATATTTTAGATAAGTCAAAAGGCTTGGATTTATAACAAGGCTAATATCAATGTAAGAAAATTATTGAATATACATCTGAATGAATTAGTATATGATGTATGCCAAATTATTACCTCCAACCAACTTAAAGCTTGATCTTGTACGCTGACTGGAGTATTAAAGAAACGTTCACTGGCAAAATGATAAACTTTTTGTGGAAGAAAAGGAAACGGTCCAGCAGTAGCATCAAAAATTTTTCTATTGAAATTTTTAAAAAAAAGAATAAAATAGTGGATTGGATTAATTATAAAGTAAAGTAAAGAAATAATTGATATTTCTAAAAAAGAAAACATTTTAACAATTAATTTCATAAGTCAATGTACGTATTTATGTGATAAAAGTTATAAGGGGTAGAGTTGAAGTGGATAAATTACAAAAATATTAAAGATTGTTTTATGACGAAAATGTCAAGTGTTGTCTAAACATTTTGAAAATTAGGAGTACGATTACAATAAGAATGAAGATGTGAAGTGAAGTGGAAAGAATTCAAGTGGTAAAATAAAATAAAAACTAGATTTCATAAGAGTGGTGATATCAAATACATATGATGATACTTATTTGCATGAAATCCGTGCTGGAGAAAAAACAACAGAATAACTTAACTTAATTTGTATTACAATTAGACTCTAAAATTGCAATGCTTATTTTTATATTATTTTATTTATTATTTTCGATTAAAGCTCGATTCGACACCGTAGTTTTGATACAAGTATGGCATTTTCAACATGTGATATCGGTTGTCCAATTTTACAGGCCGACCATTGATATCGGGTGTGCGTCGGCAGGGGATCGAACCTCGGACCATGTGCACGATCGGCGAGAGTCCTAACCGCTGTGCCACTGACGCATAGACTACAAGAGCGTAAGTGATCTTAGCCTTTCAAAAGAATGGATACTGAACAAAGAGTACTCTTTTCGATAAATTCATCATCAGGCTCTACATTTATACATACATTATAGTGAATGAATGAGTTAGTGTTATGAACAACATTGATGCTGTTTAAATAACATCAAATCAATAATATTGATAGATTACAGCTGAAACGCATCAACATAGAATAAGCTGAATGTCAGAAGAATTAGGAAATATAATAGTACAAATTCAAAGAACTTTTACTGCTGGCAAACTACACGTCTTATTCTCTACACGACCGATGTAGATGAAGTACCTAGACTAGCCACTTCTAATTGTATCTACCAATTCAAATGCATTTTTGGAGCCAGTTATATTGCCCGTTGCTCTAGGAACTTGATTTTTCGTGCTCGAGAACACCCCACAGTATGGCTAAGTAAAGGTGTAGTGAAAACTATTAACAGCTCGATATAGGAACATCTGGTGCAAACAGGCCACAAAGCCAGCGTAGATGAATCCTTCTCTATATTATATCAGGTGCCAAATAAATTACCAAAAACATCGAAGCACCGCAGGCTCCAAACAGCAGAGACTATTGCGATTCACCTCAAACAACCAGCACTCTGTGTCCAAAAGAAGCAAGTCCAGCCAGCCCCTACTATTTCCCTGGCCTTCAGTAGAAACTATAAACTCACGAATTTGTACTATTATATTTCCTAATTCTTCTGACATTCAGCTTATTCTATGTTGATGCGTTTCAGCTGTAATCTATCAATATTATTGATTTGATGTTATTTAAACAGCATCAATGTTGTTCATAACACTAACTCATTCATTCACTATAATGTATGTATAAATGTAGAGCCTGATGATGAATTTATCGAAAAGAGTACTCTTTGTTCAGTGTCCATTGTTTTGAAGATCTTAGATTTATTGCTACACTTTAGGAATTAGTCGATAGCTGGTACAAAAAGAACTATTCATTTATAATAGGCTTGGAAGCAGATTCTAGTCGTTCTGAAGTGCTGACAACAAGACTTTAGTAAACCAATAAGATACAGTAGGAAGATGATATAATTATTTGCAAGATAGTATTTAGAAATGCGTTGAATAACTGGAGAAAGATAAGTTCTTTGAGGAAATTACATACAAAGCAGTAGTAGTAGTAGTAATAATAATAATAGTTGGAAACCGATTACACAATTAGGTAGTAAGTGGGAAAAGTTGTTACTGCGGTAAACTGTGATTAATCGCAGTTTCCTTTCTTTCGATTTCCAAAGAAAACCATGGTGAAATCTCCCCACGAATTATGTTATTCACGGATTAATTTTCAGATTGCGATTTTGATAAAGTGTATTACCAACTAACCCAAGTAGGTAGCCAGTATTAGGATTGTTTGAAGTGATTAAGCTCTTTGTTTTGAGTCAAAACGGAGAACATTGCTGATGAGCTCTCCCCCACACAAATGAAACAGTCACCCTGTGCTTAAGTCGCTTCTATCTGGTAAGCAAGCTCTACTGGTTGATGTGAATGCTATCCAAATACTCATATCAGTCAGTTAGTAGTATATAGCATAATGCACTTATAGTGGCCTTGATTTCTCTTTTCTTGGGGCGTACAGTTTTCTGATGGTTAATGTATTCAGTAAAAATATTGAGTAAGGTTTGACATAATTTTACTGATAAGTGTCTTGAAATTTTCAAAGTCACTCACTTGAGTAGAATTTCTAACTCCGGATAATCCATGCGAGACACTTCAGTGCGTATTGACTCTAACCAGTACGGCATGACAAAGTCCCATGTCTGAAATAGGGATATTAAATATTAAATGTATATACTGTTCAAAAGTATACATGACGCTCAAATAGCCTACTGTATATTTTATTTTATCTATATAAATAAATTTCATTTTAAAATCACAATAAAACAGTCAAATAAGATTTCTTATCATTTCCAAGTTACTTCCTCGTAAATAGTAATCCGAAAGAATCGAGTGCATCAGTTCAAGCATTCAAGGCTAGCGTGTCACTAACATCCTTGTTGTGTAACAGGAGAACATGATCTATTCTGTTCTTCCTCATGCCTCACTTAATATACAATTATGTTACGACTAATATATGTTTTATTTCTTAACAAACTTTTGTGATAAGGCCAGAAAATTATCATAAATTCTTTTTTGTTATGTGCTAACACAGTAGTGTCTCATTTCATTAGAAACTTAGACTTGGCAATCTTGCTTAGTTTCCTGGTTTTTCAGTGTATTAGCAGATCTCAAGCCCTGAAAAAGACAAAAGATTGAACTAGAGGCTAGCAACCTTATTCCAGAAAATTAACCGAATTGCTACAGAAACTTCAGAGAAAAATCAATTTATTCTTCTCTGGAATAAGGGCTGACTAATGACGCTGGTTGGTGAGAGCCTACTGGAACCATTCAACTGATGTGTCTTCTTTTGATGAGTAAAAAGAAAGGCGCAGAAATATCAAATGTCCACGCGATATTTGAGATTGGCTGGTAAGGCTTCTCAGATCCCAAAAGAAATGATAATGTATAGAAGTTATAAATGCCCATGAGAGCAGATGAGTCGGAAGTAGACTCTTCAAGTCGTTCAGTGAACTACAAGTAATCTTCTCTGCTTATTCAGACAGTAAGCACGAGCACACTGAGAGAGTGCCCATCATGATATTATCAACAGTATGAAAAGCTTCAGTACGATGGGAACGAATCTCCTCCGGGATCATGAAATGGAGATAGACTGGACATGCGATGAGGATATCATTGGGTAATACTACAGGCCATACTTTACAGTGGAAGCGGAATGGGAAGCAGAGAGTTGGACAAGGGAGAAATTGTGAGAAGAGGAAATGTAAGCTAGTGGGCGACCGTGGAGCCAGATTCGAAAAATACCACAGAGAACAGAATGGAGTGGAGATATGCTACTGAAATCCTGTTTCACTCAGAACCCAAGGGATGAATAATAATAATATTAGTAATGTAATGAGGTACTTAAGAATTTGTCGGTTCCTTAAGTATTGGAAACTAATATTAGTGGTTAAAGTTTCTTTGAATACATAATTGAGGTTATTTGGTTAAAATTAGATTTGAAGTACATGCTTTGGGCAGGTTTATAGGGACAGGGTAATAACGGGTTTGCATTAGACTTAGGATTTACTCCAACTGATTGGTATATTTTGTATTCTTATTTGGCTAAACTAGAGTATCTTCTTAGTTATAAAAGTAATAGACCAAAAAGAGTGTTACCAGCCTAGGCATTTCATATTTCAACCTTAGTGTCATGATGTGTGTGAAAAGCATTAGTTATAACTATTTTTGTACTAGAAGGTTTTTTCAGTGAATCTGTATTATTTTACCTGAAAAATCGCCCCTTCAGATACGATTGTTTCTTTCTCATTTTCAAGGCAAGTTGTACCTCCCATTTTGGTACGGCAACTCATTTCTTATTAAATTAAAAGCTAGAATCATTTTCTAAGTAACGTACAAAGTAGCTGGTTAAAAACAATACACAGAGCAACCACTACATTGGTTGATCATCACTAGGGTGTAAGTAGTGTCATGTTTCTAGTTCCTATTGGTAATCTTCACTGAATTCTGTCAGTCAAGCTAAGCATTTTAGTGAGTTAAGTGAGGCGTATCCAACTAGTTTCACATGTTTTGGAAACGGTGTAGGGTAGAATATATTTTCTAAGTGTCATCTTGTACAGAAAAAAAGACCAATGAAGAGAGACCAGCATAAAAATGTAGATGAAATGAACAGTCTTCTTTCTTACTGTAAACGGAATCTAACCGAGATCATCAGTCAAAACTAAGAGTTATTTATTTGGAAAACACTTCTACACACACAAGCTGATGACACAACTTATAACTCTAATTAATTTTGAAGCCACAAAAATGAAAACAATTATATATTTTATCATTATCCAACTTACCTCAAAGGTGATGATATCATAGGGTATCAGACTACCGATACGACTCAGTCCATGTTTGACTCTTGATAAGTGATCACTTATTGCATCCCTGTTCGAAAAATTAAAGAATATATCCTAATTTCAAAGACCAAAGTTTATATAAGAAAACTGTACTTGAATGTCAGTTGTCACCGCATAGTCATCATTTGCTGTAGATTAAAACAGTACACTCCTATTTCTGTGCACAACTGGATCACTGACTTTAGATTTTTTTATCGCATCATTTCCTCATTGTCCTAGTCATTATAATTTTAATTCAGTATTAGTATTATATTATTAACTAAAATGCGTTCAAAATTCACATCCCCTTAATTTGTTCTTAACTTAAAACTAATACCTATCATTTCAATACTTAGGTACCTTAGGAAATATTTTACAGTCATCATTCCCCCTTATTTGTCAGGTAATAAACACAGAGCCTGAAGAGGGAATCCCTGTAGACACTTTCCTCTAAACGTTCTTGTTCTAGTATCATATATAAAGAAATAGGGGTGTTCCTTATGGCATAATATGATTCATTTGTTACAACTTTCTCCCGCAATGTAGTAGCCTTGTAATCTTCGGATTTATAAGAACCATGAGTGCCTGCTCATCATACACCTCACTTTATGATATTGATCTGCTTATAGAAGGTTGCATACCTGGGGGTTAGGTAAATCAACACCCAGGTATTATCTAAACGATTAGTGATAATGATGATGATAATAGCTTTATTCCAAAACAGTACTTGTGAGACAGAATGGAATTCTCAGCATTTCACTACAGTATTGCATCCAGTTGGTAAATTAACAATAAATAAAATTCTACATAGATTAAGTGTAATCTCAGTTAGTTTTGACAACAACATATTAGCATGTCGGTAGCAAAGCCAAAATTGAACAGAATGTTTGAAGGTTCAAAAAAAGCATATTTACTGGCGTAAGCAGAAGAAAGAAACAAAGCTGCACATAACAGAGAGAGAAAAGGAAAAGAAAGAAAGAAAAACGTTGTACCTATAAATGATATGAGTTGGAAAGACGAGATCCAGTTGTCCTACTGACTATTTAATAAGTTAAAGGTTTCACGCCTAATGCTTTCTTTATCGCACAGAACACGAGCTAAGTAGGGTATGGTTGAGTTTTTCTACTTACTAGTGCGAGCATATAGTTTTCTATACAGGCTTCTGGTTTTGCCTGATTAGATGAGATACAAGGGGAGAGTTGTGAATGAAGAGGGTGGTGTGAGTTAGATAAAATGGATTTAGCCCATTTTTCACATGAGTCCATGTGCCTGTCCACCAGAATATTAACAAGCTGGTTAAGTGGCACCCTGTGGCTTACCCTGCTGACAACCTTTAACATCCTGCGTTATAAGGTATAGTCTTTCTTCAGTAGCCAGACCTGGAAAAACTAAGTGGGAACAATAGAGAATAATAGGCAGAATACGGTAGTTAACGAATTGTAGGAGTAAGGGTTGGGTTATACCAGAATGTCTTGACTTCTTGATGTAGAAGGTAAGACGAATATTTTCTTAGAAATCATCAAGATATGAGACGACCAGCAAAAATCAGTAGATAGAATGACGCCTAGGTATTTAATTTCTGACTTGGTTTCTATTTCACTGCCATCAATGTTGCACACCTCGTGAGTGCTAACGAGTTTGTTTAGGTCAGATTTGTGCCTACAGGTGAAATTAACTGTTTGTGTCTTGTCACATTAGGAAATGTAGGTTCGCACAATGAATGTTTGTTGGAAGTACTTTCATTTGATGAATATCTTGTGACTGTCTTAATACTTATCCTTCTTGAACATAAATGTGGCTTCGTCTCCCTATGATAACTCATATGAGATGATCGGTTGTCTACCAGTTCTTATATTGACTAAATCAAGTTTTACGGATAAAACGCTAGATTTCGTTAAACATCATTGTATAAAATGTCATTTAAAGATATCATTTGGAAAACTTGATCGTGGGTTTATCTGACCGACAGTCAGTTCATCCTAACGTAAGAAAGGTTCTTATGGAAATTAAATCATCATATCAACATATTCTTTAACCTCGAATATATTTGAGGTTTAGTATGTTGCATAACTGTCTTTACTCTATACTGAAGATCAGATGGCCGGGCCGGAAAGAATCACCAACAAGAAACTATGGGCACTAACAAACAAAACAAGAACCAATCGACAAGCAACAAATATGTAGGAGAAAGTGGAGATGGATTGGACACTCGTTGAGGAGGCCACTGGGTGACATCGCGCGTCAAGCCCTCGAGGGGAACACGAAAGGGAATAGGCGAGTGGGACGTCTGTGCAAGGGTGACATGGAGGAGATCGTGTGAAGAGGAGTTGAAACAGCATGGACTAACATGGATGCAGGTGAAAAGTACAGCAGAAGGCAGAAGGAAGTGGAGATGTGCAGTTGAAGCCCTATGTTCCACTAGGAACCCAAGGGAATAATAAAATAATAATTAGTATGTTGCATTGAATTTTCAAACTGTTATCCATAATTTATTGAATAATTGACAGATACTCATTAACCTAAAAAGCCAATAACCTTTGCTTCTTTTTATCGAGTTTCCAAGATTAAGGTAAAGTAACTGCCTGATGCTTTCTTGTTTTCAATGGTTCCTTAACTCCTGTTGATTTATAATGAAATCTAACGAGAAACTGTTCAGCTATACACAAACTCTCACCTACTATTTTGTCTATTCAGCATCACTGTATATTAATATCATTATATCAATATACTGTTTTACCCTAAAGTTTAGTATGTTTAGTATGAAGTTTAGTATGTTGCATTGAATTTTCAAACTGTTGTCCATAGCTTATTGAATAATTTACAGATATTTTATGTTAGGTATTTATTTGTATCTGAGCTAGGTATGTGACTAGTTAACACTTATAAATAAAAAGTTTATTTGTACAACTATAACAACTAATGATTTACCAGGGATTTTAGGCCTGTAAGTCACTATTGTAGATGCATTTAGGTGACAGATCGAAGCAAACAAAATAAAGTTATCGATTTATAACCACTTACCAACAACTTCCAACTCGAGCATATTTCAATGGATGAGGGAGTAACACTGCAAACACAGCTTCAGGATGAAGACGTTGGACTTCTTGAATCCATTTGAGAATATACTTTTATAAGAAATAAAAAAATATGTTGCGATAAGTAATACCCATAAACATAAGTGTGAACAATTTAAAAGCTATCAGTTTAGTTTGTTGTCAACTTGCAACTATCGCTAATATTTTATTTCACTTTAAACGATTCACAAAAAGTGATATACTTGGTTGAAATTCAAAAGATGGACCCTACTGTGCAAATATTCTAAAGTTAGATAACTCACAAAAGCGTTGATACTTTGCTTGTAGTTTTGACTCCTTCCCCTGAGATAGGAAGCAAACATAACACTTAGATTCCAACCGATTCCATTTCCCACTTAGCAGAATTATTTTACTAATGAAGAGTTCGCTAGGGCCAAATACAGGTATACCGTTTATCAGGTCAATTCCAGTTGTACTAATTGGCTGTATAGTGTTTAGTTCATTCAGATTTGGTTATAGAATAATGACAGAATAATCGGTTCCCTTTGATCATATCAGTCAAATGTTAGGCATTCCAAAATAATAATCATAATAAGTTTGTCTTAATAGCTAAGTAATGTACGAAATAGTACAAATCTTTATTTTCACAATGTGTATTTGAGGAAAATTTGTAATCATTCACAATGTCGTCTGACTAACAAACATTACTTTCAACGAATCCCTTTGCTAGAGTGATATAATTCTATTTCCCGTGTGAAGTGGTATAATAAGGTGAGCAATATTGAGGTTAGGTGTCGAGTTCTAGGTAAGGAGGGGAAATCAATTGACGAGGCTGTGAAGTTACATCGACCGAGATGGTTACGACATGTGTTACGTATGCCTAGTAATCGCCTTCCTCGACGAGTAATGTTAGGTGATATAGGGTTAGGCTGGAAAAGAGCTAGCGGCGGTCAAACCAAAACATGGCACCAGTCTATGAAATCTTCAACAGTTAGTCTAAGCCAGTCACGTAAGAAGGCGTAGACTTCCTGACTGTTTGGGGTCCTCGGGACGGTAAAACACCAATGGCTAGAAACAATTGGTGACATGGCTCAAAATCGTTCCCAATGGCTTCCGTAGATGCATCCACTCCTTGTGACTTTTGACTTCCAATGAAACTGTTTTGTTCTTCGTTAGTACTATTCCTTTGTCTCACACCTCTGTTTACTGTCTCTATTATGCATTTCTTCTACTTTCTTCAGTTGCATTGTGTGCTCCAAGGAGGGATTGTGGCGACTTGAAGTGCTGCACATATGTGTAAAGTTTTATGTCGAAAACAGACAGACAGACAAAATATAAAATTTATTATAGTTATCTATAGTAGGTCCTGTCATATATTAGCTAACAACTGAGTTTATTCAAGTCTCTGCCCAAATACTTTGATGCATTGGTACAGATTTCGATTTTTAGCAAAATAATCACAAGGAACAAAAAAAGCAAAAGTGCTTACCTCACTTTTGATTCGTTCCAACAAATCACCCAGTTCATCTAAATGAAAATAGAAATATTTAGTTTCAAAAAAGATACAGTTTCGAAATGTCAAGAAAATAGAGCATTCCAAGGTGATCTGAATATCTGTTTCGCACATTCAATCAAGTAACAGTAATAAGTTAGAATACAGTCATAAAAGGTAGTAAAAGCTAAAACTTATATCTAACAATATTTAGGGAATCATACGGCGATGCATGGTATGTTAAAACAAACCTACCATTCAAATATAAACAGTAGAAAATTAGTAAAGTTGATTATAGCAACTAATAATTTATGCTTGGCATGTAGTTCAAAAAACTTGTTATCAAGTAGGCGATATTCTTAAGTTTAAAGCAACTGACGATGGACATGAGTTTCAGTAGTGGAATACAAGCCTATTCTGTTGATCAGGTGAAATTTGAACAAAATGAGTCTGTAGAATTTCAGTGTTAATCAATACCAGACGAAACAATATATCCAAAATCAAGATGTTCGACTAATGGAAAGTCACAATCGACTTCTAGTAAATATACTTACAGAAGACACTGAAAACAGATTTATACTTCTATGGATATTTAATTAGACTAATAATCATTAACAAATGTAGAGATTTCTGGATTTGACGAGATCCCTTGTATGAAGAATCTTCTATAACATAATGTAAGCAGTCAGTTTTCTCCATAATCTCTTCTTTATAAGTTCATTTGCTAATTAAAAATCTTAGGGTTACTATGGAGGCCATATTCAGTAATAAATATTTATACATATACATAATATCATCAGCCAAATAAATAAGCATGCAAAAGTGGGAATATATGTATAATATTAGGTGGCAATTTATATATAAATATATAATGTGACAAATCTGATTGTTTACACTATACAAGCATACAGGTAGAAGGTAAATTGGGATAAATTGGTTGGTAAGAGACACTTTTTATATGGTTTAGGCAAAACATCAGTATTATAAAATTGCAGACTTAACAATAAGTATTACTGATGATAAGATAACTAACCATTCAGAAAAACATTTCATTTATAATTACACTTTATTGTATAGAAAACAAACTTCTAGTTCTATGCCTTATTTATCAATTCACAGTGGTTACAATATACTGATGAGTAAAACTTGTGAATAAGGAAAAAAATTAATGAAGATTTAAAAATGAAGAAGATAAGGCACAGTGAATAAATGAAATGATATGCGAAAGAAAGGTGGGATAACTCCGAGTCTTTTGTCCGTTAGATATACAATCCTTCTCAACTATGTGAATTACAACTAAATGTCTGTCTGTCTATCTGTTTTCGACATAGAACTTTGCACATATGTGTCGAAGTTCAAGTCGCCACAATCCCTCCTTGGAGCACACAAAGCAACTGAAGAAAGTAGAAGAAATGCATAATAGAGACAGTAAACAGAGGTGTGAGACAAAGGAATAGCAGTAACGAAGATCAAAACAGTTTCATTGGAAGTCAAAAGTCACAAGGAGTGGATGCATCTACGGAAGCCATTGGGAACGATTTTGAGCCATGTCACCAATTGTTTCTAGCCATTGGTGTTTTACCGTCCCGAGGACCCCAAACAGTCAGGAAGTCTACGCCTTCTTACGTGACTGGCTTAGACTAACTGTTGAAGATTTCATAGACTGGTGCCATGTTTTGGTTTGACCTCCGAATTACAATTAACACTGATTCACAGACTATAAGTGGAATTTCGCTATCGTAAACCATTCTGTCTACTTTTCCAAACTAAATTATGTGGAAAAATGAATCTGAAAATATCCTGAATTTTCTTTTCTTTATTAATTGTCTAATATCCGATCGTGGAATCCAAGTCAATATCCGTACAATATAATTTTGTCCAATAAATAGATGGACAGATATACAATGGGGTCAATGCGAAAGATTACATGGCAGGGCAGAAATAGACTGGAATACTGGTGCAAATCTGGCAATGACTAAAAGCCTCATTAAAGTTTATCTATTTATTTGTTTAAATGAAAGAATTCTATTTATAACTTGTAGATAAAAACGTTTCCTTGACAAAGGACTATTAATAACATTCATATTATGCTTTCATTGGAACTGCACTTATATAAATGTTTCAAAGACTTCCCAAAAATAGACAATAAATGAATAAATAAAGAACAATCTGGCGTTCATAGTTTTGTGGATAATGAAGAATAGATATGTCTATGTTTTCGAACATTCAGCACTGAGTCACATAATTAATCATATCTCAAAATTATTTCTCAGACTATTTCTCATGAACGAAATACTGATTTCCATCTGGACAACAGGTTATTCAAATTTGAATGCTTCAGACACTTCTGACTTGATTTACGTTGGAGGGCTTCACTGTGACCAGAAAAACAGTAGATACCTCCAACATATATATATATATATATATATATATCAGTTCTTTTGGTTTCGAATGGAATGTAAAGCTGCAACAGTACACTTTTCATCCTATTTATTATCTGCAGTCCTTTTTACCTAGCTTTACGATGGCCCATGAACTTCTGTTTCATCCTCATACGATCTCCTCTGTGCCACTATTGGACGATCAAATTGTCGTCTTCCATTCAGTTTTCAATCAAGGATTTGAATCATGATGCCGCCTCAGCGTCTTTCAAAACCAACTCCATTTCCTTCTGATTATTTATTGGGAAACAGGTTCTTGGTTGGTTCTCTGTCAGAGTTCCTTGTTGCTAATCCTTTCTGGTCACCTGGTTATCAGTATGTAATGAAGACAACTGTTTATGAAAGTCTGCAGTTCGTAGTATATATATATATATATATATATATGGAGTATTTACAAGAAAATTACAAGAGTAACTAATTAGTAAGACTTGAAGTTATTGATTGCTATACATAAAATAAGGTCGAGAACTACTGCAAGAGTTAATTTCCGTATTGAAATGATGTGGTTAGCTTCCATCATCGTGCTTCTGCTAGCTGTTCATCCAAAGTAAATTATTTTCGCCAAGCATAAATTATATAGTTAAAACAGAAGGATACTCATTACATATTTTAACGAGATCAGGGATAAGCTGTTCAAAGTTCGATGCGGCGTAAAGAATCATTTTCACTCTTTATATCAAATTTTACACTACTCCGCAATATTTATGCAATCATGCTTGCATTGATAATTATTAATCATATGCTTTAATTGCAAACAAATATAAGAACATATAAAGCAATTATATAATGGGTATACATGGAACAGTTGCGGCTATTTTAATATCAAAAAAAAGGTGAATTTAATGCAGAAAGATAAGTGCAGAGATACATTAAAAGCAGTGTGTGTGTGAGAGAGAGAGAGAGTGTGTGTGTATTAGGCTGCAATTCCAAGCAGGTGTGATGACACATTTGACACATAATATATATGCATATGCATATGCATAAATTTACGCATTTATTCAAAGATTAGTGAAAATAGTAACTGGTGTATATATAAATACTATAAGCACAAATATATTTAAAGTGTACATTGAATTATTTACATCGTTGCCTCAGATTTCCTCGACCATCGAAGGTAATACTTGCTAAAAATTAATAAATAATTAGATACATTTACTTTTTTAATCGTTAAGTAACAACCTCAAAGAATTGGTACATTGTAAAATTGAATATTTTTTATTTTTATGGATAGCATTCATTCAGGTGATAAAATGTCACAACTCATTTAGCATCAAATTAGAAATGCAGCTGACTAACTGACTGACACAGCGATAAATTGAGTAACTGACCAATGTGAACATAATAAGCCAAAAAAACTCTGATTTCAAATTACGTATTTACAATCTCTGAACTGGAGCGCTGAATAAAGCTACTTCAGATCTGTGAAAAAGTAATGACCTCCAAAAGGTGACAAAATACTCGCCAAAGAAATTGAAGACAGGTAAAAGCTGATGTGAACCGCTTTGAAATATTTACAATTATACTTATGATTTTATTATTACAATTTATGATACCTAACTGTGTCGGTGGCACAGCGGTTAGGACGCTCGCCGACCATGCACATGGTCCGGAGTTCGATCCCCGGCCACAGACGCACTCCTTTACCTTGCTAAGCCAGAAATAATGCTGGTAAAGAAGAAAGGTTGGGCATAAGGCTAGCAACCCCATTTTGTAAAAATAAACACTGCTACAGAAACTTCAAACCACTAGCTTTAGGCCCTATGTTCCACTGGAAACGTGAAGGAAATAAAAAAGCAGCGCTATCGAGATCATAAAACTGAGCTGTGGAATTTGTCAGCTTTGAAGAACAAGCCCTATTATTATTATTATTGTTCTTAGGATCAAGTAAGATTGACAGCGCGCTACATGTTTGCGTGTTGGGATAATCTGATAATACAACAGCGTCTCATTTTGTGACCCATAGATAAATACTCAAACTAATATGCCAAACCTCCACTTGAATGATGTCCCCATATAGTATTTTACTGTGTTGTCCGAAGATTGGATTAAATACTCCGTAAATCGTCTATTTTTCAATATCCTTCTTACTATTTTTTTGAAAGGATCATAAGTAATTAACATCAGTAGAGACAGACATATTAACGATGAATTATATATTTTCGTATTCAGATTATCACATAGAAATTGAAACAGTTACCTACTATTTAGTATTGAATTACTCATTAAAAGAATGATGCTAGTTCTAAATCGACAACTTAGAGGGAATATGAAATAATAGAAAACCTAGTTGAAGTTTCTCATGTGGTGTTCAATAGAAGTCTTCTAGCTATTCACTGAAGTTACTAAAAGTAGACTATGGTTGTGGAAGTTAGTCAGTTAACAATGAAGACGTTCGGAGTAAATATATTATGAATGAAAGTGGCATTTCATATCGTGCACTGAATTTATGCTAGTAGAACAACAAAGCACCCATAGTCGATCAAAAATGAGCATTAGAAATTTCAGAAAACTGATAACTGAACAAACAATATTCTTTTCGATAACTTCTTCATCAGGTTCTACAGTTATATATCATCATAATAATGAAAGAATTAGGGTTATTAACAACACTAATGTTTAAATAACATCGAATCAATAATACGAATAGATTACAGTTCATTAGTATCTGTAATTGTGATAATATGTGTCAACGTAACACTACACCGAATATCAGAAATAATAATACAGAATTAATGAATTTACAGACTCCACAGAAAGCCAGGGCAGGAACAGTGGCTGGACCTGTTCCTTCTACACATACAACACCACTTATTTCATACAAATCACAGTAGCCTCTGTCGTTTAGAGTATGAGGTACCTGGATGCTTTTGGCAATTATTTGGTACCCGACAGATGATAGAGAAGGATTCTTAAATGCTACCTTTGTTGCCGGTTTGGACCAGGTGGTCTAATAGTAAGTTGTTGACGTTTCTCATCACACCTTTATTCAACCACACCAGTAGGTGTTCCCGAGCACGAAAAATCAAGTTCCTAGAGCAACGGTCAATATAACTCGCTGCACCACAAACGCAGTTGAATTAGTAGATACAATCAGAGGTGGCTAGTCTAGGTACTTCATCTTTCAAATGAGGAATCACGACCGGTCATGTAGAAAATATGACTTGTAGTATACCAGCATTAGGAGTTCTTTGAATGGATTTTCTTCATTTTTTAGTAATCATTTCACTCGGTACGATACGGATGCGTGCGTTATTATGAATATACAACTGTAGAACCTAATGAATAAGTTATCGAAAAGAATATTCTTTGTCCAACATTCAGAGTCATTTCTTTGAAGATAGTTAAAAAAAGCAACACCTAATTGTCACTTTTTATCTTTTGCAGTGTTCCTCTTTCACAAAATAAAAATGAAATAACTTTTTTGCTCAGAACAGTGCAGCTATTTACACTCGAAGAACATTACTATAGTCGACAACAATACACTTTGCATTATCGTAAATAAAGTTTATCACTGAGGTATTATAGAATGAAACAAAGGGAAGCTTCATCTCTAAAATATTTTCTTAATGTTTAAATAATGCATCTTTAACACTACCACAAGTGCATTATACTAGTTGATATACGAAAATAAAATTTTACTAAGCAGCATGCATATGTCATTAAAATCTGACAACATTGAATACTAGACTAACACTTAAATGTAAATATGTAAACACATCATGCACAAGCTAACAAACAAACCTTCAGCAGTATAAATTGTATCGAGAAACCAGTTAAAAATACCAGCTGTTATTCTTGTGAGTAATTCCTAAGTAGATGGTTGAAAGGTTAGAGGAAATTAACAAAACATGAATGTATTATTAGATGGACTTTGTAAAATATCCTGAAATGTTTTAAATTCAATACCCTTACTTCTACATAAACTTGAATTTGTTTTATTGGTACCTCTCATCATACCAAACTATAAAGTGTAAATGATGCTTATTTTGCTTTGAAGCCATTAAAGAAACAATCTGATTTATATCCACAAATTGCTTGTTATTCTTGCGTGATACTATATACTACTGACTGATTGGAATGTGTAGTTGGATATCACTCACATCACATCAACCGGTAGTGTTTGTTAACCTGATCGAAGTGATCTTATTATTCTGTTATTTCTCCTTCTGTTAAACTTAAAATTTTTATTGATTCCTACTGAATTTCAGCAAAACATACCAAACGGTCCACTGAAACACCACGTCTTGTGTTCATCTCGGTAGTGAATTTTTCATTTTTAGTCAATAAAGGAATGAATCGCCAATGATCTTCCTGATTGCAGTAGATTGGATAATGTGACAGGCAACGAGCAATGAGGAAACAGGCATAAAATGGACTCACACAAAAAGAGACTTGGAGGATCTGGACTTCGCCGATGATGACATATGTCTGATTTCCCATAAACTGGAAGATATGCAAGTGAAAAGCAACAAGCTGGCAGAAGAAGCATCCAGAGAAGATAGGACACAATTCAGGTGAACATAGATAAAACAGAGGTGATGAAGATTCCCGGCCAACAACAACAACAGACAACAATCACCCAACATAAATGGGAGGAACCTGAAAGAAACAACCTCCTTTACCTACACACCTACCTGGGAAGCATCGTTTCAACTACAGGCCAACAGTCAGCGCGTCATAAAGAGCATCTCAAACAAACTTCAGACCTTCATTAACAGCTAGCTGTCTTCGCTCAATACTACTCAAGATCAGATGGCTGGCCAGAAAAGATCAGCAACAAGGATCTCTGGCAACGAGCGAACCAACCCAACAGGAACCGATTGTGAAACAAACAGGCAGGAAGAAATGGAGATGGATTGGCCATACGCTGAGAAAACAAACCATCAAGTGACATCACTAGACAGGCCATCGTTCGAGTGGAACCCGAAAGGGAAGCGGGCGGCGAGTTGGTCGTCAGTGCAAGGGTGGGGTGAGTTGGAGGATGTCATGTAAAGGAAGAGGAAATGAAAGCATGTGGGAAGACTTGGAGCGGGGTGAAAAAGTTGGTAGAAAACAGAAGGCAATGGAGACGCGCAGCTGAAGCCCTATTTTCCTCTAGGAATTAAAGGATATAATAATAATAATGTAATGAGGGGGATAATTCAATTTCTTTTCAGTTGAAACTTGAAAGAATATTGTTTGGTTAGGGACTGCTTATCTCAAATAATTTTAGTGGTGTAATGCGGTTTAGCATTATAGCTAGTTCACAGCATTAAGTGTAACAAGCGGATTAAACTTACTTTTCATTTTACCAGTTAATTTTATTCAAACATATGGATTATTTATTTTCAGAAATAAAGCGTAACATTTCAATTTTAGCAATCATAGATACTACTGTTAACATTCATCGCTGCTTAAGCACAAAGATAGGTTGACTACGCAGTCTATGGGCGTATTGTCTGGTTGTTGTTTTCTAATCTTGGTTAGCTTGGTTTTGAGGTCTCTCTTAACATAGAGAACAAAGACGAAGAGACCTCAAAACCAAGCTAGCCAAGATTAGAAAACAACAACCAGACAATACGCCCATAGACTGCGTAGTCAACCTATCAAAACAACCACTATCAAAAATGGAACAACAACTACTACAAAAAGGATTAAACTACAACACCGGAGATGCTTCAAAAACTGATTTCTTCGCTGCCTTGAATCATTACTCAAATCATCAAACTTGAACGAGGAAACACAGGAAGAGATACGCCAAACAATTGTACCAATGGTCAAACAGAAAAGACAACACACACAACTCAACGCTCAAGAACTAAAGGCCCTCAAAAAGCTGAAAAATAGGAAGGACATCGTCATTTTACCAGCCGACAAAGGAAGAACAACAGTAGTCATGGACAGAGAAGAATATACCAAGAAAGCTGAAGAACTACTCAAAGATGAAGATGTATATCAACAACTCCCAACAAATCCCATACAAACATTGGATAACCGCATCCAAAGGACCTTAAACAAGCTCACCAAAACTGGACAGATCACAAAACAAGACCAATGGCGAATGAAATCCAATGGACCAGTCCTACCCGATTCTACGGCAGACCCAAAATACACAAGGCAAATATCCCATTACGACCAATTGTATCACTCCCAGGAACTCCAACATATAATTTATCCAAAGAATTATACAGAAAACTAAAACACCTAACGGAATCTTGCGATCACTCCATCAACTCTGCTATCCAATTCCTAGAGAAAATCAGAGGCATCCAAATAGATGAACAAGAAATAATGGTATCATTCGACGTGACAGCATTATATACATCCATCGGACAAAACCTAGCAAAAGAAACCATGGAGCAATTACTTAGCAACGACGAACAACTGCCACAACAATCAAAAATGCAACACACAAGCTGGATGGAATGCATAAATCTATGCCTAACAACATACTTCCAATTCAACGGCCAAATATATGAACAAGTCAAAGGAACACCCATGGGATCGCCAATATCAGGTTTGATTGCAGAAGCAGTGATGCAAAGACTCGAAAATATAATTCTACCAAAGATCAAACCCAAGATTTGGATACGCTACGTCGACGACACATTTGTAATCATCAAAAGAAACGAATTAGATAAAACTCACAACTTAATAAACAACGTCTTCAACGACATCAAATTCACAAGAGAAGAGGAATCCGAGAACAAAATACCATTTTTGGACGTCTTAGTCAGGCGAACAACTACAGGAGAATTAGAAACTCAAGTTTATAGGAAATCAACTCACACAGACCAAATACTGAATTACAACAGCAACAACCCAATAGCACACAAAAGGAACTGCATACAAACACTATTCAAGAGAGCAAGGACTCACTGCAGCACTCCCACCTTAAGAAAAATTGAAGAAAAGTATCTCATGGACGTCTTCCAAAAGAATGGATATCCACGGAATTTCATCAAGAGACATATACCCCCAAGCCAACCTACCAAAGCAAAAGCCACCAAGGAAAGCACAAAGAAAATTGCCTTACCATATATAAAAGATATCTCAGAAATCACTACAAGACTCTTCAAACCTTTAGGAATTGACGTCGTACACAAACCAACAAAGTCGCTTCACTCAATTCTATGTCAACCAAAAGACTCAACAGCGAAAGAAGATAAAACCAACATCATCTACAAAATAAACTGTAACAACTGCGAAAAACACTACATTGGCCAAAGTGGACGTCCCCTTCGTCTTCGTATCCACGAACATAAGCTAGCCGTCAAAAGACATGATATCCACTCCCTCATTTCACTACACACAGACAACCACGGACATCAATTCGACTGGGACAACGTTCAAATATTAGACAAAGGAAATAACAAGAATGCTAGAGAATTTTTAGAAGCTTGGCATTCCAGTGGATCATCAATCAATAGACACATCGAGATAGACAAAATTTATCAACCAATAAGAAAGAAACTTGACACACAAAGGGTCAAAATTCAAGTCAAAGAAACAACCGGTTCCAATACAAGTAACCTAGAAGGTGTGAACACACACAAACAACCAATCACGTCCAAGGTCACCAGGAGGAATGATTAATAAACTCGTGGAGAAATCTAAAAGCTCACTTCAAATTGAAGTATGCGCTGAAGATGTCACCCAGTAAGGTGATGAAAGCTTCGCAAACTAACCATCCAGCTCAGAGAACAAAACCACATCAAAATCATCCACCTGAGCTACAAATCTTCCCTATCATATACTACTTATTGATTGGAATGTGTAGTTGGATATCACTCACATCACATCAACCGGTAGTGCTTGTTAACCTGATCGAAGTGATCTTATTATTCTGTTATTTCTCTTGCTGTTTAACTTAAAATTTTTATTGATTCCTTCTGAATTTCAGCGAAAAATGTCAAAGGGTTCACTGAAACACCACGTCTTGTATTCAGCTCGGTAGTGAATGTTTCATTTTCAGTCAATAAAGGAATAAATAAATATTTAACTGTTCTGAAAATAACTAACTTGGTAATGACGCTTTTGAAAATAATACCTAACTGCAAAAAAGTGATTAAGTTACACAACAGTTCCTGTGTGGCTAAAAAGTGACTTTGCAGTAGAGTCAACTCATATATGTACATAATTCATTAGTTCAGTGTTGTCATTATTTCTCTTTACAACTGACTGCCTTCAAAAACAGAATTATGAATTATCTTCCTCCAAGTAGAAATATACGAAGTCATAGTAATTCAATAAAACACACATTGATTACATAGACAAAATAAGCTCTAATGAGAAAAATAGGTTTTGCATTCATTACACAAATAATTTATTCTATGAAACAGCCACTATCTCTAAATCTCAACATGGACAATTAATATTCAAATTTTCAATTTAATCATAAATACATTCACATTAACTTACAAGATTAATTCGTTCACGAGGTCTGCATTTTTCACCGACCAGAAAGGCCCCATATACTGCTAGTACTTTATGATCTTCATCACGGTAGCGACCAAGGAGAGTTATTGCTCCAGTTTCTGCGCCTGAATTATGTCCGTAGCCATTAGCGACACCAGCAATTCCACCACTACTAGTTACACCAGCTCCTGTTTGGTTACGTGTTGTGAATCCAGTCTTTATGCAAAATGAGTGGAAATATTTACTCTCGGTTACAGTGAATAAATTATACATATACCAGACAATATAACTGAGGGCTATACAAATATGTACTAGAAGTCAGTATTAGTAACTGAATACCACTTGGGATTGAGAACAGCATTTACTAGTTTGATAATGATTACAGTAGTTTTCGGTTGACATAAACCATTGGTTTACGGTGAAGAGAATCATTTCTCGCTAGTAAACTTTACTGAATTCTGTGAAAGATTTTCAGTTACTCTTATCTATCAGCTGCATATATCTAATCACTATTATTCTCACAGTCTCGTCAATATTTACAGTTATAAGTCAAGACAAATTGTACCCTAAATATTTATTTTCCAAAGGGAATCACACTTTAATTTCTTATGTTATTGAAAAGTTTTCATGCACCATATCAGGTAATATATCCAAATGTTAGTCTATCCCTCCCCCTGTATTTGCTAATCGTTAAAATTATGAAATTTAGTGATGTGCTTACCATTTGTGCTGTTCCAAAATCGCTAAAAGATGTTTGTGCAACAACACCTCCACCTACTGTGACTGTGGTCGTATTGGCCATTGGATTTCCAGATAAATTTGAAGAAATTATAGTTCCGCTACTTAATCCAAGCATAACCATTTCATTGCTAGATGTCGGCCCACCAGGCGCACTAGGACCAGGGCATGTTAATCCAGTCACAGCTCGATTTGTGACTTCATCTCCATTCTCTACACCACCCAACAATACTTGACGCCATCGTGGCATTGTTTCTAATGTTAGTGATATTATTGATTGAATCATACAGGGTTGAGAATCAATTGACATATCCCAAACATCTGGTAGTGAACTCTGTAAATATTTTAGTTTAATGAAAACAAGTTGAGTAAACAGAATACATTAATTGATATAAATATCATCGTCCCTTAATGGGAAACTTCATCAAGTAATGAAAATATTTGGGAAATATAAAGTCAATGAAAGTTACATTTTATCCAGACAGCGTAAAAGTCACCTTTATAAGGATTAAGTGTGCACAAAAATAGTTCAGAAGAAAAATAAGTACTTGTTTATGAATTTTTCATAAATTCTGTCTTAGAAATTTCAGTATATATACGCGAATTCCAGTATATTTCCAGTTTGAAAACTAATAAATGTAAGAAGAGTTGGTAAGGAATTCAACATTTACAGCCGGAGCCTCATCTGCACTAGATTTGCATGTTTGTAACTGTTATTTTTTCATAGAAATCAGTCAAAGCACACGGTTATAGACATTCGCTCTTCAGGTCAAAACAATAAAGTGATGACAGAATGATGAACTGTTAAGTTGTGTGAAGAGTCAAAAGTGGAATTATAAACTGTTATCATCTGTTATGTACGCTGATGGTTCAGTGATAGAATGATCATTAGTCACGCTAAAGGCCCTAGTTTTATTGCTGATCTACGCAGCCCGAAATTTCAACTATTTTACCAGAAGGTAGTAAGTTCGTAGGAGAGCGAAGTTTGGGTTTAGTGCTGACAACCTGACCCCGTTAAAAAAAACAGCACCTCTGCTACTGAGACTTGAAAGCTTGAAGCATTATGTCCCGCTAGGAACGTAAACGAATGAGAAACATTATTTGTAATACAAGCCATACATCCTCAGATTTACTCTCTGTAGGTTGTCCGATTCCTGTGATTGGTTTCTAAAATGTTAGTGTGCGTATCTTGGAAAAGTCTTGAATTATAAAAAATGTAGTAACATTTATCTGAATTATCAAAGGTTATTAAAATTAAGTCAAAAATAACCGATCTCGATAAATTTTGACAGTGAAGTGATAAAGCTTATGTTAAGTATGACGACTATAAATAAGTTTACAAGCATTCAAGTTATGTTTTCATAGAACGCCTTAAGTGACATACCTGATATATATGTGATGTACTGTGATCTTTATTTCTGCTGTTATCATTATCAGTTGCATTATTATCTTCGCTGGTGGGTACATCTGGAGTACTTTGCATCAGACTAGTATCAACAGTCTCCTTATTTCTTCCCTCTGACGACTGACTGGCATCAGAGTAGATGTGCCTAATTGTATGACATAATTCGCATAGTCTTATAGCTCTATTTCCTGTCAGATAGGTACAACCGCTAGACCAACATGTAACAGAAGCTGAATTATTCTTGCTGCGACATGTCTTCGACTCACACGTCAGACTGATCTGTAAATGAATTGATTAACAAATAACAGGAGATGCGAAATGACGTGATTACAGTGAATTAAATGAAAAAAATTGAAGATTCAAGCAACTCATAAATCAGTCATACCTATAAATAACTTATCAGACAACTTTCGTAGTCGACAATGCTTATTGGTAACTCTAAAATGCTGTATAGTTCATAAATTTTGGAAACACAGCTCACTGCTGCATAGCTGATAATTTTATACTCGTGATATTCAGACTTGAAACAGTCGATAAACAGAAAACACTGTTTTTACGAGTTGATCACCGATTGATATCAGTTAGAGAACCATTGAAAACCAGGGAGTACTGGACAGCTGCTGTTTCATCCTAGTTTGGGAATCATCGGCAGTACGCGTGGGTGAGCACTCCTTGGTTTTCAATGGTTCTCTACCTGATATCAATCCGTGATCAACTAGTAAAAACATAACTAACCCTTACAAACCAAACTATAGAAAAGAAAACACAGTCATATTATTCAATCTAAAAATTGCATCAGCAGTCGTGGAGGTTTCAGGAGTTGAGTTATTGTTCAACCTACCGAGTTTAGATGCTAACCTTAGTATTACTTTACGAAAATGAAGTGATTTAAGAAACTCATATGCTGTCCAGTTTAGGAATTCTTCTTAAAAATATAAAAATACATTAGAGACACTTCCTGATGAAGTATTATTAAGGATACTGCTTATGTTGACATTCTGTCTACGCTGAAACAGTATTGACAGTTTCAGTATTAATCAATAAGACATATCTAAAAGCATCCATTTATGTATATGATATGTATCCACATGATATGTGTTTTGTTTTTGACAGTCTGTTTTATTTTGTTGTGTATATGGATCGATATTTCATTATAACTGACAATATGCTTCTGTCTGTCCACTAACTAAATAAACATGTTGTATGACCTTGTTGTCACGTGACATTACAACCAATCATGTTAAGACTGTCTATTTATTGGTTCATGTGCATTAGTCATTTTCATATATACTTTTGTACTGTATACTTGTTCCCACGTTTTCGTACACTACGTACCATTTCACTCACACTCTTGTGTGACATTTATTTTCCTTGTTTGAAAAATACAAGTATCATCGTAAACCTGGTGGTCTTCTGATTTCCCTCTTTCCGCGTCAGGACTATTAACTACTCGACGAGTACATAACATAATTGGCGACGGGGAAAACTTACTATTAACCACTCAGTAGCAGTACATAAAAGTATAATACCTTTTATTTACTTCTGAACAAAATGGTTATATTAAATTTATTAAGGCTAAACTAGTTATTGTCATAGAGTTAACCACAATCTCATGAACGCTTCTGCTCTTCATACTCTTACTCATTGTACCATAGTTCAAATGACAACAACTTCTCATGAGATTTGATTTATACTAAACTCCAGTTTTAATGTTCTATATCCTACTTGCCTTATTTTATTCCATTCTGTCTTGTTAATATTATGAAATCATCTACGTAAAAGAGTAACCAATCTTCTAATGTCAACTATGTTGATAACGTCAACAAATGCTCTGTTTTACATGCAATAAAAAAAAATCCCTACAAAATCAATACTTGAATATTAATCTGATGTTCACTAGCGACTGGCCCTATTCAGGCAGTGACCGGGGGTTCCAGTGGGAAGCCGTGACCAGTAGAGTATGGTATAGCAGGTTGAAGATGAGGCAGTAACTCATCGAAGAAGACATTGTGAAATGGTCGCGCTATGTCATGAATTGGCTAGAAGCTAGAATTCAAGGACCATTGGATCGGGTCTCAGTGGCTCAATGATCTACGAGCTCGCCTTGTAACCAGAAGGTCATGGGTTCGAACCCTGGTGGTGGGTGCGTACGGTTGAAGAGTCCCAAACTAGGAGGAAACAATTATCCAATACTTCCAAGTTTTCCCGTGGTTCTCTATCTGATGTCAGCTCATGATGAAATCCTCCATGCAAATACTCTGTTGTAAGAAATTTCTTTCCAGCAATATATATATATATATATATATTCCTGACATCTTAATATAACTTATTAGTCTGAACAATGTTTTGTATTGATTATGACATTATTACTTTGCATCTGTCAGTTGGTCGACTGATTTCTACTGAATAAACTGAAGATATGCATGGATATTTTATTGCAATCACATATACATGGAGACAAGAATTAATAACACTGAAATAAGCTGTATATCTAGAGTAAATTGATGGCACTCTAACTTTAGTCATCTTTTATGTTTATTCTTTATGTATATTTTATTCAGTTCAAGATATAAAAACACCCTTAAGTTTTTTTGCTGTATATAAATACAGCATTTTAAAAATTTGCTACACATTCTTGGAGTAAACTGACTATAAGTGAAATCAATAATTAAAATGGACACCTGTAAAGAAAAAATAAACCATTATATAACACGATGAAAATTAGAACACTAACTGGTATGTGGAATTTTGACATTTCAAAACATTTACGGTTCACTTATTTCAGAGAAACTTATTTATTTATTATTATTATATCTTTAAATTCCTAGAGGAACATATGGCTTCAGCCAAGCGTCTCCATTGCCTTCGGTTTTCTGCCAACCTTTTCACCCCGCTCCAAGTCTGCCCACATGCTTTCATTTCCTCTTCCTTTACATGACATCCTCCAACTCACCCCACCCTTGCACTGACGACCAACTCGCCGCCCGCTTCCCTTTCGGGTTCCCCTCGAGCGATGGCTTGTCTAGTGATGTCACTCGATGGTTTCCTCAGAGTATGGCCGGCCAATCCATCTCCATTTCTTCCTGCCTATTTGTTTCACAATCGGTTCCCGCTGGGTTGGTTCGCTCATTTCCAGAGATCCTTGTTGCTGATCTTTCCTGGCCATCTGATCTTGAGTGGTATTGAGCGAAGACAGCTGTTGATGAAGGTCTGTAGTTTGTTTGAGATGCTCTTTATGATGCACTGGCCAAGTCTCTGATCCATCCGTATAGTAGCACTGACTGACTTCACAGTGGAGTTGAAAATCTGGATCTTATTTTCGTTTTCATGTTGAGTGCTGTTGACCTCCTGCAAACAGACTTGAGAGTAATGAAAGCTTGTCTTGCTTTTCCGATTCTGGCTTTGATGTCCTCGTCAGTTCCGTCGGCCTGTAGTTGAAACGATGCTTCCCAGGTAGGTGTGTAGGTAAAGGAGGTTGTTTCTCTCAAGTTCCCCCATTTATGCTGAGAAACTTACAAAACACTTAATGTGAATATCATAACAGTATACTCATTGCAACTGGTAAATTCTTCCATACAAATATGACATCCCTGATAATTTTCTTCAGGGATCAATGGATTCCGATATGAAATTATGTCACATATGTGGATGGATGTCATCACTATGATACTCGTGAAATGTCTCAGTCGTATCAAAAAGTACATAAATTTCAGAATGATGATTTTCAAAGCTTTATTGACTAACTTAACAATAATCTTTACCAATAAATAAAAGCCATAGCATAATTTGGTAGAAAAGAAATTTTATATAGTAACGTGTAACATAAATGATGTGATAATCTTCATTAAAGAGTGACACTTTGACCAATAAACTTGAATTTAATGAATTACGAAAGAAAATCGATCAAAATATCTACATATCTGATGATCCATTTCAACTTACTTGCTTTGTAGGCAAAAGAATATCCACAAGCTGATCAAAATCTAGACGATTTAACGCATCTGCACAATCTAGGCAAACATACAACGGCGGTGGCTTCCCACTTTGTTGAATCGAAATTTTCGGATTCACAGTCATCTATAAGAAAAACAATATGTGCATATGCAATATACGTGTAATTAGTTAGCCGAAATTCAAGTGTAATAATAATAATGATAATAATTTGCTTTATTTCAAAACAGTACTTGTGATACAGAACGGAATTCTCAGCATTTTACTACAGTATTGCATCCAGTTAGTACATTATCAATAAGTAAAATTCTACATAGATTAAGGAAATCTCAGTTCATTATGACAACAACATATTGGCATGTCGGTAGCAAAGCCAAAATTAAACAGAGTGTTTGAAAGTGTTCGAAAAGTGGATGCCAGAATATTTACTGGCGTAAGCGGAAGAAAGAAACAAAGCTGCACATAACAGAAAAAGAGAGGGAGAGAGAAAAGGAAAAGAAAGAAAGAAAACGTTGTACCTATATATGATATGAAGTTGGAAAGACGAGATCCAGTTGTTCTGCTGACTATTTAATAAGTTAAAGGTTTCACGCCTAATACTTTCTTTATAGCACAAAACACGAGCTAAGTAGGGTATGGTTGAGTTTTTGTACTTGCTAGTGCGAGTATATATAGTGGATAGCATCAAAAGCTTAGGCACAAATAACTCTAATTACTGCATGTACATAAGTAGGATTTATAATAACATGGATTTTAATGATTTTGTGCAGAATCATGCACAACTGCTTCCACTGTTATTCAGTTAATATTAAGTTTGTATATTGTGGTGTAGTTATCCATACGATAAAGTTGTTAGAGAAGCATTTTGTCATCTTTTGAATAGGATGTTGCAGACTAGAACCTGACATCTACATGGTTCACTGCGTTTTACCTATATACAACAATATTTAGTCAAGAGGCACAAACGAAGGCTTGGATTAGCAAAGTCAAATTTAAAAGTGAGCATACAAACACATGGTGCTTAGCCACTAAACCAGTGATGACGTGCTTGAAAAGAAATTTTCATTTCTGCAGTGAAAATCAGTGCGTCGGTGTCACAGTGGTTAGGACTCTCGCCAACCATGTACATGGTCCGAGGTTCGATCCCCTGCCGACGCATACCTGATATCTATGGTCGGCCTGCAAAACTTGGGCTACCTATTTCCATGCTGAAAATTCCATACGTGTACCAAAAAAGCAGTATGGAATCAAGCTGTAATCAAAAAATAAAAATATAAAAAAATATTTAGTAAGGATGAGCAAAATCTATTTCGATGAAGGTCGAATACGGATGCATGAATCGCTTACAGAAACATTTAGTTAGAATCAGTTGTGGGGTACAGTAAAATGAAACAATGGGGAAGATTTGCAGTTCAGGTGGATGATATTGAATTATTGTGCTCTCTAATCTAGTTGATTTAACAGCGAGGCTTTTGCCGTCCTTCTAGACAACATCTTCAGCGAAGGTTTTAGGATAAAATGGACTTGTTTAAATTCTCCATGAATGATGTAATTGTGTCTCCTTGCAACTACTGCCGTGATTGGTTTACGTCTCTATTGATCATATTTTTATTGACTTGGAATTTGAACCTTCTTGTCATGAGATTTACTTTTTATCAGCTGGTAAATTTGTTCTATAATAATGTGTTTGTTAATTGCTTGTTGATTCACTTGAGTGTCAAGGCTTCTAGGAATTCCCTAGCAGTATTTTTGGTGTTTCCTTTACTTAAAATTCCTACATTATCACAAACAAATTGGTGTGAATACTTATTCACTTGCATTGATACGAAAGAATATATAATCATGTCTTTTACAGCCAATTTGTGTTCTTGGATTTGGATTCGAAGGGGATGTCCACTTTCACTAGCAAATAAAAAGTAAATCTCATGACAAGAAGGTTCGAATTCCAAGTCATTAAAAATATGATCAGTAGAGACGTAAACCAATCACCGTAGTAGTTGCAAGGAGAAGCAATTACATCATTCATGGGGAATTTAAATAAGTCCATTTTATACTAAAACCTTCTCTGAAGATGTTGTCTAGAAGGACGTCAAAAGCTTCACAGTTAAATCAACCAGATCAGAAAATATAATTAATTCAGTACAATAAGATGACTGATATGCAATAAATAAACCAATAAATAAAAGCATAACTTCATTATGAATACTCTTCATCACACTTTGATGCAGACTAAATTCTACTCTGAAACAACAAATTAACCAACGCAGTGTGAGTGTCTGAAAATTGTACACAGATAATATCTCAGACTCAGCTATGGATACTGAAATAATAATAATAAAGTTTTAATAATACTGTGGGATATAACAGCTCACATAATATAGGGTTGTGAAACACGCCATCTCAATATTATTTCATCTTATAATATTTCTTAACACATTTCCAGCTATACAGGAGTTCATTTGGCGTAAATTTTCTTTCAAGTCAAAGGTTGACAAAAATTTCATCACACATTTCATTTTGACGCTTGCATATAACTTAGTATTAAATTAACATATCTAGGCAAAATACTTCGTAAGTGTATTGCAAACTATTGGAGTGTTTTACTCTTAAGACAAAAACGGTCATAGACACTTATTTAAATTTAAACTTGCTAACTCACCTTCATTGCCAATGCTTTTCCAGTTTTGTTTGGACAATCGTTTCTGTAACATGTGATTGGTTTCCAAGCTAAAATAAATTTAACAAGTGATTATTCCATCAGTTAAAGTTATGAAGTGCATGTGTTGAGTCCATAATCGTGTTACACTGGAGATATCTTAGTAAATTTAGATGTAATAATTCCATATTAGATAAGTTGATCTTAAATATCACGCAGTGATGTAGTATGAACAACTGGATGACGTTTCGAGCATAAATTATTGTTCATAATCATATCAGTTTAGTCACACGGCTTCACAATTCGTCTTGGATATCTTTTCTCTCTATCTCTTTCTCCATCTTCCCCTTGGTGCTTGTTGCTACTTTCAAGTTATTGTTATTATTAATTATTATGAGCAATTATTTATGCTTGAAACGTCACCCAGTTGTTCATGCTGCATCCCTGTGAGATATTTAAAATAGACTTATCTAATATGGAATTACATTCTACCACAGCGCCCAATTTCTACTCCTACATAAGATATAATAAAACGTTAAGACAACAGCAGCCATCAACTTTGCATAGAGAGACAGTACGCTGTAAATCAATATACGCAACGCTTAAAAATATTATTTATTACAAAATTATAAAACTTTCAGTAAAATATCCCTCTGATAAGATATAATGCCTTCCATAACCCTATAAAAATGATGATTGTTAGCTTACAAATAAAATAACATAATTTTAAAAGGTAATTTGTTTCTTATTATCTAATGGTCAAATTTATTTCACGCTTTCATTCCGTTCATGACTTGTCGGTTGAATGAAGTTTCATACCCGTACCCCTCAGCGTTCTCACTAAATTTATTATGAAACCTCTTTATACTATCTACCTGATCACTGAACCACAACAAATAATTCACGTTGTTTATTTATAACTCTGATTTTTCCATTAATGTAGCTCAACATAATCTCATAGCCGCTGTGCGTCGGTGGCACAGTGGTTAGGACTCTCACCGACTATGCACATTGTCAGGGGTTCGAGCCCTCGCCGACGCACACCTGATATCTAATTTTAATTTAATTTTTGATTTACAGCTTGATTCCACACTGTATTTTCGGTACAAGTATGGAATTTTCAGCATGGATATCGGTAGCCCAAATTTTGCAGGCCGACCATAGATATCAGGTGTGCGTCGGTGCGGGCTCGAACCCCAGACCATGTGCATGGTCGGCGAGAGTCCTAACCACTGTGCCACCGACCTGCGAAATCTGGGCTACCGATATCCACGCTGAAAATTCCATACTTGTACCAAAAATACAGTATGGAATCAAGCTGTGATCAAAAATAAATAAATAAAAATAAATCAAGCAACTCTTATTTCCATAGAGACACGGCTATGTGATACAGGAAAATGGATTGTGTTTCACATATTACTTCATATGTTATACGAAAAATTTTGTTGTAGTGGACGAGTGTTAAATGTAGCTGTCACCTAATATGGGAAATCGAATCGATTTCAAAATATTTAATTTTCCAATAAATCACTGAAGGTAACGGCTTCACCTTTTGGATCCAATGTAAGAGGAAATAGTATGTTCTTTAAAGGAATCAAGGAGATTTAAACGCCATAAGATATAGAAATAGAACTTTGGAACTGTAGTGGATTATATTTCCATCATATGGTATGATTATGAGCAATAAATTGTGCTCAAAACATTATCAGTAAATAATGCTGCATAACACTGTGAGACTTTGATAAACGAATAGAACTTGTGCACTGTGGTAGAGTATTATTCCATTATGCGTAAAATTCACTCTATGATGAAACATCATAGGGATTAGTAACTGTTAATAGGCAACAATTGTATTTCTTTTTACTTACACTCCCATGTATAATGAACTGGTTGTAATACTTGATTCCCATAAAAGGCTGTTGGGTAGTTTTCTGGCCAATAATGGAAAAATAAGCAAACAGCTGGAAGTCTAGCTTCTGTAGGCCCATAGGCTATAATCATTAGTAAATCCTATCCAAAAAGAAATCACATAAAAAATGATTCAAGTATTATAATGAAATAAACAAATAGAAGAAGACCAATGTGATACCTATTCAAAAGCTGTATACATTGACTTGTGGATATTTATCGAATAAAAGGTGGTTCTCCATATACTTAAGAGAAATCCATATCAGTAATTTCTTTTTACATTTTTGCCTTTCAGAGCAATAACTGTTAGGGTGTTTTCCCACTGACTTATAACTGTCTGCAGTGTTTTGACCGAATACAGGCTAACTGAAGCCACCGGGTTGTTTACTTATCCTTCAGACGTACGTCAGTAAAAAAAACCTAGATTCACTAGAATGTATTTATTAAATACTAGTTAAATAATAAACCTTTTAGACATTAAATAGATGTTTCTATTATTTTACAAAAGGAAATCAATATACATGTCTTCTAGACTCACTTTGTATAAGTCTTTTTTTCTTGACATGAAACTCTCCAATACCCATACATGGTATTCTGAAATGTAAAATAGATATTTGGAAAAAATGATTCATAAGCTCCCTTAGGCATAAGACATTCATATTAACCACTATAACAATTTAGTGTTTATAAACATTCCTAAACTTGACTGACAGAATTCATTTTGTATCAAACAAAGGAAATAGATACATTACACTAATTACTACCTAATGTCCAATCAAAATATCTATATAGTCCTGCAAAAGATCAATCGCAAGCTCGAATAGCTCAGTGGTAACGTCTCTGACTGCATCATCATCACTGGGTGACGTGGGTTCCAATCACAGAAGGGAAGTGACTTCCTTCAAGGTTGCAGATACGCCTTGCTGACTGGTGAGTGCCAACTAGCAAGAAACCTAGGTCTAAGGCTTCCCAACGATGGCATTCCAGACATCTAATGTAAACATTTTTGCCTTGATTGTCTAAAACTATATACTGCCATATACAGCGTACTTCAAATAATGGCTAACATTAAAGATGTTTTTAGTGTTGCTGTTAAATACTTCAGCGTAGCCAATACAACAACAAAATAAGTTAACTGATTTCGAATGGTCAATGAGTTAACCATCTTTAAAGTATGACAATACGACATGAAAAAGTTTTGCAGCTCCGAATTAGTCGAACAATTCTGATGCAAAATAACTGTAAGGCGGTTTAATACTCCTGTTAGTAGAAGTTGAGAACCATGGGATGCTGAATTTCAACTGACTGATTATATAAGTGCCAATGTGCGCGTGATATAACCTAAAGATCTTGAGGTTAATCCCTCCAAAGGTTTTCAGTCTGCACTCAAGGAGAATCCTAAACTTCCTAGTGTGTCTTAATTTCAATGAACTTTGTAGGTGATGGCGGCTTGAGTAGAAATACCTTGTTTCTGTTACAGTAAGATTACGTGTATCAGTGTTAGTTGAAGAAAATTCTAATCTAACTTTATGTCTCATTATAATAAAGGTTTTTTGTATTTCCCAATGAATGAAAAACAAAACGATATTGTTTTTACTGACGTTTCGCTATTTAATGCTAATAGCTTTCTCAAATTATCATTAAAATTTTTTAATAACTTTATGTTTCACGCCTGTTATATCTTCTTCAGGCTTTACTCTAATTTACATAGACTCATATATAAAAAATTTTAACCAATGACGGTGATTTTGTGGGTCAAATAATAATAGCAATAATAATGATAATGTCGTAAATGTTATGAACGAAATTAATAACGATGACTATAATGATAACAGAATATTGATAATATGGTTTATGCAGGTGATAAGAATAACAAAGATAGTATATGCATATATGTAGACAATTCAATAAATAAATAAATTAGGTCAAATCAAATGGAACGATAATCAGAGTTTAAATAAATATCATAAAAGTACGAAGGAGATGGATTATAAGAAAGGGTGGGAGGGTTTTGAATAGAATTCACCTAGGCCGAAGGAGAGACAAAGGTAGAACAAACTTTTTTCGTACACAAAGACTAGGATTGTTCTCTCTAATTCCCATAGCTTCGTCTAAGTGTAAAAGACGGGTTCTGATTCCGTTCGAAAGACTCGATGGAATGCGATAGATAACTTTGAAGGCACTATTTTTGTCCACTTGGTGACCGCTATCAATCAAATGAGCCAAAATAGAACTTCGTATGGATTTTATTTAACCTTTTCCGAACCATGAAGAAAAATGCTCATTAATGCGTTTGTTAAGCTGTCTAGTTGTTCAACTGATTAGACACTATTAGACACTCACCTTTCAGAAAAATAAATTCTCATGCAAATAACAACATTTGGTCTTTAGAATGCCTTGAGAATTCTACAGCTTACAGTCATTTTAACAGTTCAGGAATATAATGTATGCTGAACCGCCATACAAACTTTTACCAGTGAGGTCTGAACTTATCATTTGGTGAATTTTTTTTAAGTAAAATTTCAGTATTTACCTAAAATACCCTTTTAAGATATATATTTCGTTACAGACCAATAACACTGGAACTATAGATAGGTAGTTTAGGGTGGTTCAGAACACTTCAGCAGTATCTGTTCATCAGTCTTCCAAGAATCACGAGCAAAACACTGGTGGCTTTACATAGTTGTATCTCCATCCACTCATTAGATCGGATTTCCAGTTTATGTTTGTTGAATATATAACGCTGCCAAACTATAGTGTTACCTTTAAGTAACTGTTCTCACCGTTGACTTAGCTGAATCTACCAATCTTAGCTATTCATTAGAATCTTTAAAAAATCAGCCTCGAAGTTAGTCATTAAAAAGCAATATGATGAAACTTCATTGTTAGACTTATATGGATTTAATTAATATCAGGGTGAAAGATGCTGAAAATCGTACTTTCTTTGGAAGTAACTGAGTTGGGTAAGACATAATCAATCATTTTTCTGAGTACACTTGAACTTAGCTGCTGTCATTCCCTGGTGTAGCTACTCTTAGCTTTTCTCATCCCAGTTTTACACCACTTGGTATGAATCTTGCTTCCATATCTTTGGTAAGTGTAATAGGTAGATAAGTGTTCATTCACACAGGTAGGATGTTCACGTGTAGGATACTGTACATTCTACCATAATCGAAATCACCTCAACCGTGCAGTGTATATATATATATATCGATCATTTTACTTACCAACTTTTTCTACATGTTGAAATACCAGTGTTAAAATAGAGGGAATACAGTCAACTGCATACGATTCTTGGTCGTCGGTTATATCTAAAAGCAAAGCATTAGAAGACAACAACATCCATTTACAATACGTATCATATTTAATGATTTGTGTTATTACAACAAACTCGAAAGAATAGTGTGTTTTCTTTTCAAGAAATCAAATGTACATAAAATTAAAATCTTTTGAATTTTGGATTAGTTCAATGCCCTGTTACTATTTTATTTCAGTTACTTTATTATGGGTGAATTTTGTCCTCAGTTCACATAGACACCTTTAATCATTTAATGTATTACGTATTCTATAGTGAAAAGATAAAGTACTTTCTTTGCGCCTATTCATAATATATGGCTATTTCTAGATTAGGAAATTAATCTGTTATCTACAACTTTACAAAGATTTTATACTTCATATAGAATAAAAAACTAGTCATTTGTTAGTTGACTGCAGGCAAGAAACACTGGACTGAAGTAATCATTCCTTTTGACAGTTATCACTACTGTAATAAACTGATTCTCCTTCATGGATAAAAACTTATCATCGAAAGCGGTACCAAGCTTTACTTTAATCTTTATACGACTGGTTTAGGTACATTATTTATTAGTTAGGGAATGAAAATTGTCACCTTTTCTAATTCAGACTTCTGATTAGATTCTATACATGATATTTTAAATGTGATCACTCATGTTTTCTATAGAAATCAGATTATTATTAAGGGCAACAGAGAAGATTAGGCACCACAGTCAAATGACTTTGAACCAACCAATCAGATAACTCAGTATTATAAATGGATGCTTCTCATAATCTTTGTTGTAAGTTCCAATCATAACCCTACCTTAATCCTATCCTAACCTTAACCCTGAATCAGGATGAAACTTCCAACAAGGATTATGAAAAGCACTTGCAACGCTGATCGATCTGATTGGTTGGTTCGGGGTCACTCGGCTGTGGTGTCTCTTCTTCAATGTAACATAAAGGTGTAACTTTCTTTATTAGTAATTATAATGTGAAGAAGTCAAAAGTTAAATGTTACACAGTTTAATGAGATCTAGTGAAACAAAAGGTTCGGGAACTTTTAGTAATAAAATTATCGCCTCATTATATTTAAATTATTCATCTAAAATAAATTCATTGAATTCTGCTTGCTTAATCATTGTCCTAATTAACTATTTAAAATTTCTATTACTTATCAAGAAAGATATTTATTTAACTCATTTTATTTGTAGTCTCATCAACTAGAAAGTTGTCGTCCAACAAATGTGCCAGTGAGGAGACCGTTGAGTGAAATCATGCGCCAGGTCGTCGAGTCAAACGCTGCTAGGAAAGAACTGGGTGAATGACCAAGTGTGGCATGAAATGCATTGTGTAAGGAAGAAATGAAAACTCATAGGCAACCGTGAAGCCAAATAAAATAGAATTCAGAAAGCAGAGTGGAGAGGAGATGTACTGCTGAAGGCCCATGTTCCAATCGAAATCCAAGGGAACAACAATAATAATTTGCAGTCTAATATTAATACCTTTGATACTTATTCGTTTTTAAGATTAAATCTTTTGTCATTTGTCAGATATAACTACATCAGTTCATACACTTAGTTATGCAGAGATTTATATGTAATAAGGGCATAAATGACGAAAACTAAAGAAAGAAAGAAGGAAATCAGATTCAACCTACCAAAAGAAAACAAGCTATTGTAAATATGTATAAACAATTTGCTTATTCCCTATTGGTCACTGGTATTTATCTTTAATCGATACATCATGTTAGAGAGTAGACAAAATTCTACTTAACTGAATATTTTATTAAAAATAATTCTGACTAATGGAAGCAATTATAAGTTAGATGAATCGATTGAAATGAATACTTTTTATCATCGATCGTTTGATGCGTTAATTTTGTCAACTTAGTGTATAATTGGACAAAAGAACAAGCAAAACATTGCTTATTACCTATACTTCGACAGTTATCAAAGTTATTATTTAACAGCGTATCATGCATGCATTTCTGTTGATATCTAATATTCTCTTAAACTTTCATGCTCCGTTTATGTCTTATTCGATTTGATAGAACTTTCTCGCTAGACTTTCTACACCAAGAAGCTCTGAAAGTGTGGTACAAGTTAGCGTAACTTTAAATTTGTATTAGCCGATGATTTCCGCTTTAGCCTCTTCACTTTTCTTTCTTATTCAATCCAACAGTCTTTAAAGAGGAAATATTATTAAGGTTGTGAGCAAATCTGTTGACCTATCAATTATTTTACTGATAAATATGGATCTTAGCACATATTTAAATTATGGTAAAAATTTAAAGAGTCACTTACAACTTTAAGTGTTTCATTTTTTGAAGGTTACTACTTTATATATTGGATGAAATAATATATAGACATTACTCCTGTCAACCAATGCTGCCCGCATGCCAGGTCAAGGCACTTAAAATATGGAACAAATGTCTTACTCACCTCGAATCAACCTCATCAGATTTGATTAACTTCGGAGATTAATTTGATGCTTTAGTTTGTATGAATGGCTTCAGTTCATCAGCCAATATGAGACAACATAATTTTGTTCTATAGTTCACTTTGCCTTACATTATCTTAGCATTAATCCAATCACAGTAACCATTGTGAATGCAAGGATTCCCAGAGAACTACGGTGAAACCTCACGACAGATGATGACACTTGGTTATAAAACTTAATCACATGGAATGACTAATAAAGAAAATACACTAAGCAGTTAGGACAGTTGGAAGTTAAAATGTATTTCTGAGTTTGAGAAAGACTTGACAAGGAATATACTCGTAAAAACAGCAACAGTGGATTCAGATTTATCCACCCTTACTTGGCGTACTGTTCGTAGTTTCTGCCAGACTAAAAATTAAAAATTTTTGACGATCAATAGCAATTTTTCTTTGGCTCCGTAGACTGAACTTACATGAATTTCAAAAGAATTAGGCCTTCATAAAAATATTTTTGCTATTATCAAATAAACAGTTTTGAGAATTACGTCTGAGAACACGTTACACTAATTTCATGAGTTTCAACATGATCATAATTATCTTATGGATGAATAATAAATGCGATTATCTCTGTGATAGCAAACGAATCAGCCAAATATTCTTTTATTTATAAAATTGGCTGTACAGGGAGAGAACCCATCTGTTTTGTTAACTGTCTTAGAGTGTAGTCTAAACTGTCCAAAAGACATCAGGAATCAAACCGATTATTTCGTTCAATTAGTTATCCTTAATGAATGATTTTGTCAGGTGAACAGATAATATCAGTAAATGACCTAGAGAAGAGGTGATTACATTAGTGTTTGCCAGAAAAGATCAGCAACAGGGATCTCTGGGAGCGAACCAATCAGGAACCGATTGTGAAACAAATAGGCAGAAAGAAATGGAGATGGATTGGCCATATGCTGAGGAAACCATCAAGTGACATCACTAGACAAGCCATCGCTCGAGTGGAACCCGAAAGGGAGGCGGCGAGTTGGTCGTCCAAGGGTAACTTGGAGGAAGTCATGCGAGGAGGAGATGAAAGCATGTGGACAGACCTGGAGCAGGGTGAAAAAGTTGTCAGAAAACCGAAGGCAATGGAGGTGCGCAGCTGAAGCCCTATGTTCCTCTAGGAACTAAAGGATACAATAATAATAATAATTTAGAAGTAGTTCACTATCCAGTGAGTAATACTAATATCACCAAGAATGCTCATTTACCTACTTTCATATGAATAGTAGTTATTATAAGTAATAAACGTCGTAGCTGTTTTTCTTCATTTTACATTTTCCAAAAAATTGTCAGAATTCTTATCAGTTAAGTTAAGTTTCGCACAGTTAAACTTTTTTATCTCTAAAATACATATACTGAAATCAGTTTAACTAGCATTCAGGACTTTTTGATTATTATGAGAAGTGTATTCCAATCTCTAATGTGACTAGTTGTCTCTAATAACATAGAAATCAGTTCATTGTTCATAACGAAGATGAATAATCATCAAGGCCTACTTTGTGCATGTTGTGGAGAATAAATAAACAAAGAATGATCAATCTTGTTGAAAAACAGACAGCTGTTTTGAAATTCATACAGATTTTGTAGACATATATTACCATAAACACAACAACTGACTTGTTGACTATGATTCATGTTATTCACTGAAATTTTATAATTTCTGTTTAACTTATTATTTGTATAACTTCTCATGGGCTAATTTTTTTCTATCTGTTAACCTGAAAATTTTTAAGATGTCCCAACTACTAGGCGCACTAAATTTGAACTATGTGTAGTTAATAAGTTCACTCGTAAGAAAGCCCACCAAGCTCTCTTTCACACCTTATTTTCAAATTACTATATTTCTAATAGTTGGAGTGTTGCAGAAGTTAGTGCCAATTTGATTTGAGCTTAGTGATAAAGTACTGTTTACTGCGCTACACTTCAGCGATAATCTATTGTAAATAACTATGTGGAGGTAAATTGTGACCTTCTCTAAGTAGAAGACAATCCTTCTTTTACATTTACCAACAAAGGTATTACTGTTCTTCTCACTATCTGTTTTACTCAATGATAAAATTTTGTTTTGAATTTAATAGATTTCCTATGACCAGCAGAATACCAAAATGACCACATAAAACGACAGAAAGTGTTTGACTAGTTATCCATATGTGACTACAATAATACAACTGGGTGTTATCGATCTGTAAGTCCTTATACAATGTCTTCAAAAATTTCCAGCGTATGAATGTAATTTTTTACAATGAAGTGTCAACGTGAGAATTAGTTGGGGGACTGTCTTATACTGGCGACATTAGCTGGTAACTAACCATTATATTCACTGATGCTAGCTTTTTTGATTCTGAACTCCCTATTTGGTCCAGTGGGACCTATTTAGCCAGCTGAAAAATACGGCTTAAAGTAAACGCATATATTTATATATATATATATGGTGCTTTCAGCATCTTGTCTCCCACGAAGAACCATAGCTAGGTATCACAGCTAGGTGGCTGGTGACTGCGTCATCTTCGTCATACTTCTGAGTTCCTGAAATCACATGCTGTGATTCCAGGCACCAATAGCTGGACCATATTCCTGACCCATTTAAGGGTAATTCGAACTGTTACAGTTTCTGAACCAAATGATCTGGGTTCTCTGTCGCTGAGATCCAGTGTTTAGATCATTAATGGTTGATTCTTATTTTCTAGATTTAGTTATTAGTTTAAGAGCTGTTAGGAGTTAACACTGCACAAAAAGACGGCGGTGGGTATTACCAAATGTTATTCGCACTATAAGAACAGCTAATCTGGAAGAAATGTTTAACTGTCTACAAACTTAAAACTAAATGATGAGTCAACTATGAAAGTATAACAAAAGACATGATTCTGTTATTAAATGGTACTTTAGTTCCGTAGTACGTATTGAGGCTTTGAGTCACAACAAACCTCCGTCCGCTATTATTATGGAAATAGTTGAATTTATAGGATTGAAGTATAAAGCTCCTTGTGTATCAACATGATTTAGTGATTGTAGTGATCCAAATACAAATACCGTATTGTTAACGGTTGTTTCCAACTTCCGTTTTGGGCGACAAATTAAAATTTCAGTGTAAGATTACGAACACTGATTTGCTACAATATTCATCTATTTATTAACGTTCAAACATAAACCTCCAAGTAGGCAAAAGCTTTTAGCTAGAAGCCTAACCACAAATTTGCCCAATTCGTGATTAGTTTTTTTTTAAATATTAGTGGTGAACATTTTATAAATCAGACATACAAGTAAAATTACATCATATATCATAAAAAAGAAGTGTTAATCACATAACCTACTATAAATCAACGGGATTGCCACTGAACATAGTAAGTCAATAACACCAGAATGGATATTTGCTGGAAAATACAGCAGCATCCATGTTATGGCCAGTGGTACGCCTTCCAAGCAGTCGTAGTCCAGGCAAAAGATAAGACTTTGAACAGTTCGTAGCAGATGCTCACAGACAGCTGAAAACAAAAATTTAAGATGTGGCTGAAAGGAATAGCTAAAGTAATTTATAATTTCTTAATCCATTTGAATTTTGAGTAACTGGTAATCATTTTGACTTGACCTGCTTAGTTGAAACATCATTGTAAATAGCAGAAGCCGTCAAAATAATTAGTTGTATAGACAGACCATAGTAAAAGCTTTTACAAAACTGCATAGTTCAACTTATCAGACTCCATAACAGCGTACAAACAAGAAGTAAACCAATAATAAATCACATAAAAAGCTGATCTTATGCTCATTGTTGTAGTAAAATAACTAATTTTGTTTCAGATTATATTTCTTTAACTCACATAAACAGGATCTGAGGTGATAAATAAAAGTTCTAACGATGAAAAAGTAATTTTGGAGTGAAATTAAATGTTTGGAGTCACCATATAACCTGAAGCTTCTGACTCTCAGCAGCTTGCCCATCATAAAAGGCCTATACAAGCATCTTACCGGAGGTAAAAACACTAGTCACGAAACCTAGGTTTATAGAGGACTCAATGTAATTACTTCATTATCAATCTGTCGACTTCTTTTTGATTAGGTTCCATAACTAAAAGGGAGTTAATTCTCACGAATTTAAGCTTCTCATACCATTGAAATCCTAATACGTCTTGAGGTCGGGTGGAATTGGATGTATTTACTTTGGGAATGAGTTTATTCACCATTTAGTACCTTAATGAACGATTTGGCGAACGTCGCTCAATATTGTTGCTGAAGTATATTAAGACAGTTCCATTCTATGCCTTATGAAACAAATTAAAAACTTTGAGTAGTACTAACTACACGTTCTTAAACACAATAGACGTGTGACTGCTTGAGCTAAATTGTTTGTTCACAGGATTCAGTTGCTCAAACCAGTTGCAAAGACCGAAGCACGACTGTATTATACCATAACATTATCTGTAGACTGCATGAAAGCCTTGAGTTTGTTCAGTGTTGTACTTAAACTGCTCTTTAAGTTTGATTAAGTTCCTAAACTATTTTTATTATGCAAACTGAAAGAAAACATGGTGTTTATTAAGTCAAAGACAGGCTGATTTTCGGCTTTATCAGAGTGAAGTATGGTAATGTGTTCATATCAAAGTGGTCAAGCACAATGAGTGTAGAAGTTAGTGGTCCTTAAATCGTTGTAACTTCCCTGTACATATTCAGAAATTTGTAGCCTCAAAAATAGTTAGAAAGCGCGGTGCAAGACGCCACCTCTAATGTGGACACTGAGGCTATTTCAATCACATCCTCGATTGTGATGGTAAGAAGGCTTATTTTCAGCGGAAATACGAGACCTGACACTTGGTAAACAAGGAATAATTGTTTCAAGCACTAATGACACCACGAACGAATTATAGCTTTAGAAACATATGTAATAAGATATTTGTGTCCCCAGAAGTGAAAAATAAGGATTTCACTCAATTACAAGTGTTATTTTTGTTTATACACTAAAAATTCTTCGTTGATGATTCGTGCAAATGAGAAACCAACCCCATTTAATTGACAAGACCTTCTATTTCAATTTTTATTGCTGAACTAATTGTATATGCTTTCAGACTCTACATGATTCAAATACTTTCTCGCGTATATGCATGTTATTATGTATCCTTAGTTTTATCCAAAAATTGTTATTACTATTATTATTTAGTTCACAGTTTTACTTAACATTTTCCGGTAGTCTCTCCGGACCTCTAGGGGGGGCCATGTGGAGTACGTAACAGTGTGATTGTACAATTTTTGCTAGTTGTAGAAATTAGAGACATCGTACATTATTTTTATTTAAAACGACTCTTGTTAAGATACACATAACTTCCGTGTTCAATTGGAAATAGACTATACTGTTGGAGTCTTCGCCTTTTTCCTGGCCATTTCTGCTTACTTGCTCCACTCATACCGTGTTGTATACTTCGGATTTATTGTAGGAGTCTACTACTCTCAACCGAAGACATTTCTACAACCGGAACACAGCAGCTATAGCAGACGCAACCCAATCAATTAACGTCCCCGTGGATTATATAAATAAGTTGTAGCAGAGGACTTATATTTTATATCCAAGTAATCCTTTGTGTTGATACAACTCGTCACTGCATTTTTTGGCAAAATATATTGTTATTTAACACTCCATTGACTTGGATTATTATTCTTATATTTATAATGTTAGTGAACTCTAGTATAAGTCCCCTACACACTCTTACTTTAGAAATATTTCTAAATAAGGTTATCAAGAGACTGTGGCTTATAAACAAAGTGTAGCGTAAAAAAGGAAAAGTGTAAAAACTAACCGCTTTGATTTGTAAGCTTTTGTATATGCTCTGAAATTGTCAAGACACATAAATAAAGAGTGCCATAATCAAGCTGTGGTAAATATTTGGCCCTCCACTCCAAGTCATTGTCTCTATTCGCAAAACGCTCCGGAGATAGGACGCTAATATCTTTTAGTATACTATGGAAGCAATTAAATGGTATTTTGAATTACTTATATAAAGTATTTTGAAAAAACTTTAACAAACTGGTGATATCATTTGAAGACGGTAAATTACTTGCATTGTTAACGAGTTTAAAACAGGCTTCATTCAATGCCTTAAGCTTTGTAGAGTCTAATTTACAAAAGTTATTAGTAAGAAATCGTCTAATTTACATGTTTGTGCTTTAATATTAGACATTCCTGCGACTACTCAATCTGGATTCAAAATGTTAAGATAAAGTCTCATTAAAGGTGGTTAACAGTGATGAATTAAAACAAAACAACCAACAAATGTGATAACCAGTAGGCCATATACACAACAGATAAATCACCCGTTCGCTTAAAATCAAGCAAGCCTATAGCACACGTAAGGGGTCTAAACATCGCAAAAATACTATGAGGTTATGACGAAAGGTGACTCAACACTATGGGATAGCAATGGATTCAGTCCTCTCAGTCATCCATTACGATTTCCAAGAAGAAGAATATGCGGGTTCATAGGCCCAGATTACGCTCGAAAATTTACACCTGTATGACTGCATTATCTGTCTAAATTTCAAAATAAATAACTGTAATCGTGTTTTTCATTTGTTTGCACACAAATTTATGACGACTGCAATAACTTGTAGCGGTAAATGATTCCCCAAAATTATTGACCATGGGAACAGATTATGTCTAAGAGAAGAATCACATCGTGGCCATAGGAATCATCAGTGAACATTGTATGCTGTCCATTAGAGTTTAATTCGATTTGTTTAGCTGAAGGCTTCCAGTCAAGCATCCCCACCATTTGGTACTCCGTCGTGTCACTTTCGTGCACGATAACTAGCTACATTAGCTTCCGCTACAATCCGCGATTTGGTTTCGAAATATATCTCGTAATTTGGACAATTAATTGTGGTCCTTTGCTGTGCCTTTAGTACACGAGAAATGAATAATATAGAAGTTGTTGGTATAAGATCATGCGTTAATATACTGAGTACCGTTCGCGAACGCCTATACCGTCAACCTCTAAAAACTCTCGGAATGACGGATTTTTCTGGTGTGGAGGGAATTTCACCAGGAGAAAAATTCACCTTGCTTCATAAAATTTTTTTCAGATTGGTCACTGTATTTTTTGTAGAAATGTGAACGAATAAGGATGACATGTAGAATAGAAAATTCAAAGTTAATTTCCTTATGAGTAGCACCTAGTCTCATGTATGATAAGGTCTTCATCTTTCATTTGCTGTTACATAGTTTTTCAGTGAACATATGCTAATGGAAAAATTTGCAAATCAGAATTTAGATAAACGTAATGTTTTGATTGAAAAACAATGTATATGTAGGGGCTGTATACGTACGATCACAAGGAGAGTTTCAAACCGTTCGGGAAGGTTCGATAGCTTCATCTGGTGGCGCGCACGGAAACACAAAATCGAACACAATTTTCAGTTTTTATGAAAGATGGCAGCCTTTTGTTGAAAACCTTTACTGCAATATCACGGGAAAGCTCTTAGTCACAACATTTTAAAAACGAAACGTCTCTACTTTAAAAGAACAGAGAGACACAACTGTATTATCACCACATTTTTCCGTAATTCATCATTTTGGCTGCTGTTTTTTATTCCTTCACGTTCCCAGTGGACCATAGCGCATCAAACTGGAGGCTTCAATTTTCGGTGGCAGTGGTATTTATTTTTGCCGGGTGGGGTTTTTTGCCCTATGCCTAGCCTTCCCTCTTTACCAGTCTTGTTGCTGGCTTAGTGAGGTAAGGGAGTTTGTCGGCCAGGGATCGAATCCCGAACCACATACGTCGTCCGCAAACATCCTACCAATGTGCCACAGAAGCACATGTTGAGAATGTGGTGCTGCCTTATGCCAGTGAGATTCATATCTCTATATCTGAATATAAAAGTGTGTACTGACCAGTGATACTTTCACATTAGATCTTATTTCTAAATATTTATACCCGTTTGCATGAGAACTGTTCAGGAGCGATGACATGTTCAAAAATAACTGAAAATTGAAGGGGCATAGGCTGGAGGCCATTCAGTATGTTTTTTGATAACCGCCAATTATTCTGAGTCAAATTGTAACCTGAGCAACTACATTTGATTTCAAGTCATTGAGAGATACTATTGTATTCCCCGAAGACATTCTGTCTGACCGATAGATTAGTACTAAACGGCCATTCCTGATGTGACCGGTACCATCCTTTTTGTTCACTTCAAATCACCGATGAGGATTATGTTAACTGTCAGTTTACTCGAGGGCCAAACCACACCTAGTCAAAATTTTGCGACATACTTGCTGAATATATTCTTTTTACACAGTGATTTCTAAATATAGCTATAATCTTTAGATTTTGGCACACATCGTCCTGCAAATTCCACGTTGCTAACCAATTGTTCGCTTCCATATCCAAGTTCTAAACTCTTTATCCAGAATGACTGAAGAGGACGACACCTTGACTAAATAGCTACTCAGTGGGAGTGGGAGCGAACACAGCACTGTTTGAGACGGGACTAATATCGTGGTAGAATATTAAGTTCAGCACGTTGTCACATCTTATAGAGACAATGACAGTTTGTTTCCAGCCAAAAATGTCCGGTGTGCCTAAGAGCTTGTCAAATTTAGCTCGGCCTGTTAATAAATCACAGTTGACTTCTAGTAGGTTGAATTCTCTGCATATGATCTTATGCTCATATAGAAGAGTGGACACTTGATACAGTGCATTAGGGGGTCTAGTCTCGTAATCACTAAAGGTGCCAGATGTTCTATAGATACACCCCATCAGTAATGTAGCACTTTGACCCACAGAATGTTATGCACGTTGAGTTCCCTATTTTCTAGCTGCATTACAGTAAGCGTGTTCAGCAAGTACGAAGGGCAGCCTCCTCCTTCACCTCTGTTCATGTCACATTGAAAGCGTGTGTACCCATCGATGCTAATCTCTTCGACTGGTATATTGGAGTGACACCAGGATTCAATAACAATAATTATTGGAGGTTTATATACCAGTATGTATACACTGAGCATCGGTAATTTGTTAAGGATAGATCTAGTATTAACAAGGATTAGGTAAGAGTGGCTTTATTGCATATCCCCGCTATGATGCTTGTTGCTATGGATTTCAAGTGGCCTTGTTTTTGGGGGAAGATTTAATTGATGTAAGATTGCGATTTCATAGACATAACTTAAGCTCATACGTAAGAGAAATTTATTATCCTGGAATGAGGACAAGTTGTTCAAAAGGTAGGGGGGCATTACTTTTCAGTTTTTTCGTGTATATACTATTGCGCAGCGAGTTGCACTGAGATCCCAGCTAGCATTTTTTTCGGGCGCATTGCAGACTTTTTGGGGCGAAAACTTCGGGTAGATCTACTTACGTGGGACAGTGTCCCGAAGTTTGCCCCCAAAAGCCTGCAATTTGCCCCAAAAAGTCTGCAATGTGCCCTAGGTCTTCGTCGGAATTTGCAATGTGCCCAACTTCTGCCCCAAAAAGTCTGCAATATGCCCTAGGTCTTCCTCGGGATCTGCAATATGCCCAAATTCTGCCTCAAAATGTCTGCAATGTGCCCTAAGTCTGTCCTCTAAGAGTCGGCTATTTTCCCTAAGTCTACAATGCGCCCAAAGTCTGCAACGCGCCCGAAAAAATGCTAGCTTTGATCTTGGTGCAACTGTACGTAACTGCATTTACATAAAGTAAAACATTACGAATGCTCCTGTTTTTAGAATAAAAAGCATGGTTCTTTTCATTCAGTTCAGTGATGAAGAATGGAATTTCTTCCACATCAGTGTTATTTAATTGAAGTTGTAATCTGTGTAGGCCCTCAAAGGAATCAATTCGTCACGGAGAACTCCTATGGGAACCGAAAGTACTTTTAGTTTACTAAACCTTACTGGCTTCCTGTATAAATTTGATATCTGTCAAGTGTTTATTTAAAATCTGCTGAAGTATTCAGCAAAGTAAAAGTTGTAGTGCATAATTTCTAGACTTGTTATTCAAGTGTTGGTTTGTAGGGATTTGATTGGTTTACAGGATTTCATCATGAGCTGACATTAGTTAGAGAACCACTGGAAAACCTGGGAGTACTTGACAGCTCTTTCGTCCCAGTTTGGGACTTGTAGGGGACTTATACTAGAGTTCACTAACATTATAAATATAAGAATAATAATCCAAGTCAATGGAGTGTTAAATAACAATATATTTTGCCAAAAAATGCAGTGACGAGTTGTATCAACACAAAGGATTACTTGGATATAAAATATAAGTCCTCTGCGACAACTTATTTATATAACCCACGGGGACGTTAATTGATTGGGTTGCGTCTGCTATAGCTGCTGTGTTCCGGTTGTAGAAATGTCTTCGGTTGAGAGTAGTAGACTCCTACAATAAATCCGAAGTATACAACACGGTATGAGTGGAGCAAGTAAGCAGAAATGGCCAGGAAAAAGGCGAAGACTCCAACAGTATAGTCTATTTCCAATTGAACACGGAAGTTATGTGTATCTTAACAAGAGTCGTTTTAAATAAAAATAATGTACGATGTCTCTAATTTCTACAACTAACAAAAATTGTACAATCACACTGTTACGTACTCCACATGGCCCCCCCTAGAGGTCCGGAGAGACTACCGGAAAATGTTAAGTAAAACTGTGAAGTAAATAATAATAGTAATAACAATTTTTGGATAAAACTAAGGATACATAATAACATGCATATACGCGAGAAAGTATTTGAATCATGTAGAGTCTGAAAGCATATACAATTAGTTCAGCAATAAAAATTGAAATAGAAAGTCATGTCACTTAAATTTGCACTAACCCGGAACATAGATTTTTAATGTATAAAGAAAAATATGTAAATACACAGTAATAAAGGAGGGGAAAGAAAACATTGAAAAATATGGATTAAGGATCAGTAGTTTCTGAAATGGACAATACCTGTTTTTATGTGAGGTACATATAAATAAATAATAGTGATAGTAACATCAAAGTTTACGACGAAATACTAACGGTCATGATAATAATGTCTAAACGAAAAAGATAATAGTAAATTGTAATTATGTTTTTTTTATTAGTCCTCAAAATGAACGTAGCGAGCCGGTTTACTGATATGCCGACCACTACGTGTTTGATTTGGAGGGAGGATAAGACTTAGTGCCGGTGGAGGGGAATCGGATGTTTGATTATTTGATTGTGCAGCTGCCGATGTAGATTCGAAGTCGTTGTCGGTGTATGCGGGTTTGATTCGATCAATTGAAATAGTCTCTCGTTTTCCATTTTTGTTCACTGTAAAGTGTTTTTCTGAACGTTTAATAACTTGAAAGGGTCCTTCGTATGGTGGTTGCAATCCTTTTCTGATGGCGTCGACTCGAATGAAGACGAATTTGCAAGTTTGTAGATGTTTGTCGATCTGATGTCGTCGGGGAGATTGTCGAGGTGCTGTTGGTTGAAGTTGAAGCATTTGTCTAGTTAATCGGTTGGTGAAGTCGCCAGTGTTCACGTCTGTGGAATCGGCTGAGGGGACTAGCTGTCCAGGCAAGGTTAGGTTGGTGCCATAAACAAGTTGAGCCGATGTACATCCTAAATCTTCTTTGATAGTAGATCGGATACCAAGTAAAATCAAAGGTAAGTATTCACTCCACTTAGATGTATCATTCTGCGCCATCAGGGAGCTTTTCAGTTGTCTGTGAAATCTTTCCACTAGACCATTCGCTGCCGGATGATAGGCTGTTGTGGAGATATGTTTCACTCCCAGAAGTCTCGTCAGTTCGCGAAAGAGTGTCGATTGGAATTGAGGACCGCGGTCGGATGTAATAGTAGTTGGTACACCGTAGTTTGACACCCAACGGTCGAGAAAAACCGAGGCAACGTTTTCAGCAGATATGTCGTTTAAGGGGCATGCAATAGCCCAACGAGTAAATCTATCAATCGCTGTCAGGATATGTGTATATCCTCTTGATGTTGGCAATGGTCCGACGATATCTATATGGATATGCTGAAATCTCCTTTTTGGTAATTCAAACGTCTTCGGGGTTGTAATAGTTTGGCGGTGTACTTTGGAGCATTGGCATTGGATACATTCTCGTGCCCATCTCCGAATGTCAGAGTTCATTTTAGGCCACACGAAGCGTTCGCTGATCAGTCTGACCGTGGCGCGTACTCCAGGGTGAGAAAGCGAATGTAAATGTTCGAACAATGCTTTTCGGTAACTGAGAGGGACAAATGGACGATTAGTGCCGGTAGATACATCGCAGACTATGGTTGCATCTGATAAGGGGATAGGGACATCTTTGAGCTGTAAGGAAGAGTTTCTGCGGCAGGTTTGGAGTTCAACGTCATCTCTTTGTAATTGAGCCATACGATCAAGACTGATGTCTACCGACGTTTGAAGCTGGTTAATGTCACTTCTTGAAAGAGAATCGGCTACCACGTTCGCATCCCCTTTGATGTACTGGATGTCGGTTGAAAATTGGGAGATATAATAATAATAATATAATCCAACTGTCTGGCTTCTCCAGGGGAGTGTTTATCGAGTGAAGTAGTGAAAGCATGACACAGGGGCTTGTGGTCAGTAAAAATAGTGAAATGCCGGCCCTGTAGTAAGTAACTGAAATGCTTCACTGCAAGATATATGGCCAACAATTCTCTCCCAACAACTGCTCACAGACTGTGAACTAGGCCCACGTAAACCATCCCAACTGCTCAGGCACATGCTCCAGTTAATCGGACATCATAAAGTAGACGAGGTAGTGCTGAAACAGATGTGGTTGCAACGTTTACCTAGAAATGTCCAGCAAATTTTAATCATCTCAGGAAAGTCGTATGACTTAGACCAACTAAGTGACATGGCAGATTGTATTATGGATGTTTTATCTGATAAAACCATAAGTCACATAGCATCTGATAGTGCCACACCGTGTCATTCCACACCCACGGCAGACACACCGATACTCGCCGCCATTGCAGACTTAGCGGCAAGGATTGACAAGTTGGAAACTAATAGGTCTGATCGACGAGTCCGGAGGCTGAGTTCACAAAAAAGGTCACCATCACGACGACGATCCTTCTCACGACAGCGTTCTCACACGTCTTCTCGGGATAGTAATATATGCTGGTATCACTGGAAGTTTGGACGTCATGCCCTGAAATGTGTAAAACCGTGCAGCTTTAGCGAAGCCAACCAGGCTCAGGGAAACGCCTCAGCCAAACAGTGATGGCGACAGCTGTTACCAGCAAGCAAACAAGTCGCCTCTTCTATGTGAAGGACAAAACTTCAGACACTTTATTCCTGGTAGACACAGGAGCAGAAGTTAGCGTGATCCCTCCTTCACTATCCAGGCGATCTACACGGACACCCGGAAAACTGTCTCTCCGGGCAGCTAACCACACAAGCATACAGACGTATGGAGAGCAATCCCTCATGCTGGATCTAGGTTTACGTCGGCTTTTCACATGGATTTTCATAGTAGCCGACGTCGGTCACGCCATCCTCGGAGCAGATTTCTTGAGTAATTTCAACCTGTTAGTTGACGTCAACACACGAATCTTTTTGCAACGCAAAAGTCGCCCTATCCAAAGTCACTATGCTATCGCCCTATTCAGGTAGGTAGTTCTAGTGAGAAGTCGTGACCAATAGGTTGCAGCTGGTCGACTGTGAGGAAACATACTCGCCGAAGACATTGGCTAGGGGTCGCGCTATGTCGTGAATTGGCAGAACTTATAATTCATGGTCCATTGGATCGGGTCCCAGTGGCTTGATGATATACGAGTACGTCTTGTAACCAGAAGGTCCTGGGTTCGAATCCAGGTAGGTGTGTACTGATGAAGAGCCCCAAACTAGGACGAAACAGCTGCCCACTGCTCCCAGAATTTCCAGTGATTCTCTAACTAATGTCAGCTCATGATGAAATTCTAGACTTGTTGTTGTCGTTGGCATTGCCAGGATACCACTTACTCGTTTTATGCAGCCGAAATATCCAATTCTCACTTTATTGAAGAAATACTATGTTGCCTGAAAAGTAGTGCATTAGTTGATGAGTTTCATAAAGTCTACAGAATGTTTTCTGTTCACTAAATACTGTTTGCGAATTATCCGAGAAAACACATTTCCAAGCGGGATGTAACACAATGCTGATTTCTTAAACCATGATCCTTATATCAGTTCAATTCAATCACACATATATTAGTAGGATAGTCTGTAATCGACTTTAGAGACTTATCAGGGAATAGTCTCATCAACTTACAGTTTGCTGATGATATTGTACACCTAGACTATGAGAAGTAACCCCTGATGCTGGAAAATATGAAAAGAATATCAATGTTTTATTATAGGTTTCTGTATTCTATCTCATGAGTAAAGCAGTATGATATGGCGAGTGATGTTGAGATTGCGCATAAAGTGTTAGGTGAGGAGGGTAAGTTAGTTTTCAATGTAGGGAATCTGAACAGGTTGAGATGGCTAGAACACGTGCTGGCATACCAAGCCGTCACCTTTCTCGAGTGACAACGTTAGCCAGCATATGTTAAGGTTCAAAACGTGTTTGGGTAGGTCAAATAAAAAACTGCAGTTTTTCATTTTCTGAACCAATACCATGGTATTGGTTGGAACAGATGCATTCACTCTGTGTAATCTCACGTATCTATACAACTCATGTTTTTCCCTGTCACTATTTATTCTCCCTCACATTTTCGCTCGTTAAACTTTCGTCTAGTTTTATGTTTTTACCTTTGTGTGTTCCATGGAACGTGATAACCTAAATGGGTGCACTTGTGTGCAAGCTTATATGTTGAAAGTCAGTCTGTCAGAATGATCTATAGTCCAGTTATAATGAAATGCTAAAACGTCGATAAAAATAAGCGAAATGTCAAAAAATGATAATCGAATTTTTTTCATTTGGTTCTTGTCTAACAGAAAAAAAGTGATGTTACAATAATTTCTCCTCTTACCCGAGATAACTCTCACACTGTATCTCGTTATATTTCATGAGTTAGTTTATTTTATCCCGTAGCCCAAATGCGAAGTCGAGAGACATCTGATGAAATATGTTTTGCTTATTACCAACTAAATGTAATATTTTTCAAGTGTGGAATGTCACAAATCGAACTGCTGCACTTCTGTGCTGAGTTCCATGTTAAAACTCAATCAGTCAGCTTTGTCACTGCAGATGCGTAGTGTCACAACTCACTGCAGTGTTAATTGGCTTAAACAATTATTAATGCCGTTTCTTAAGTACTCTATGCATTTCCCAATTCCTTAAATTGTCTAGATAAAGTGCACCGAAGAGGAAAACATAAAACAAAAGTCAGTAACACGGACATAAGAAATAGTGCGAATAGAAGTGAATGAGATGGGTGGTTTTTTATGCCTGTAGTACGCTTAACTAAAATACTCATATATATGAACGAGGCAAAATGTTGTGTGACTGACTTGATATGATTATGAGCAATAATTTGTGCTCGAAACGTCATCAGATAATATTACTGTACAACATTGTGTGATTTATCAAAATAAAATCTTATCCATAATGGAGTTATACTCTGTCACAGTGCCCAAGTCTTATACTTATATCAAAAATACTTATTTTATGCGTTATGTGTCTCCTAATTGTTTCATTTTTGTCTTCTTCATTGCAGGTTGCCAGTCTTCTTAGACATTCTACTAGATGTCGTCATACATAGTGTCTGCAAGCAGTCTTTCAATACATCTACCTCCCAAAAAGTTGTTGGTATGAGGCCTTTCAGTTTATTCACTTCGAGCCATAGTACAATTGGTACGCTTATATTACTGATGCAATGACATGCAAGACTTGTACATGTTGCTGTGAGGTTTGCCTGTAATAACATCCCATAGTAAATACAATACCTGTGATAACAATTCGTCACTATCTTTTCATTCCGTTGATAGGTGCGTATATATTAGAAAAAGCTAACCTTGTCGTATTAGTTCTCTAAAATACTTTTACTAAGTGCCCATACTTCTGCTGAATACCAAGTGCTACTCTCGGTCCATGAAATACATTTTACTGCATCAAACTATTATATGGAGTAGTGAGACAGAAGGCGTATGAAATTTAGATGTTAATGTGTATCTGAAGTTACTGACACAATATATATGTATATGTTTCATTTCCAAACAAGAAAATTTTATAGGGTAATGTAGGGCTGATCCCAGTGAGTTAATAGTGTATTCTTTACTGAACACATCTTGTATAAGTGAAATGCTTCTATTCAATTTTCGGCGAAGCTGCAATATCACTCTGCAGGGTTTCTCCAATGCACTCTCATAGGAAACAATACTTGGTACCGAGGAGTCCAGCCAGAAGCAGCTGTGACATAGTCGAATTACTTTTTCATCTTAAAGCGGTAATACTGATATTAAGTGTGATTTACCTGTAAACTGAGGGACTCTAGTGTAACACGGCACCGCATCCCACCATTGTATTCTTTTCTTGTAAAATTTCTGCAGAATTCATGGACTGAGCATTTGTTAAATATGAAGGCGTCCCAATGAGTCATGTAGACGAAAGGCTGGCGAAATGTGATACCTTACACACGTATCTTCAGATGTAGACATGTGTTACTTCACGCAAACTCTGGCCTGTATCGAGCAGAAATTCCTTTAAATCGACCCTCCGTTGTACGCTCAATTATTGTTCGTATATATGC